TTTGAGCTGTCCTTTGGTGAGGGCTCTTAAAACATCAAAAACAAACATTTTTTCACTCAAGACTAAAATAAAAAAATAGTCGGTTTTTTTGTGCCACCCTAATATATATATATATATATATATTATATTAAAAATGTTTTAACAAATATAAATAATGCTGTGAAGCGGGAAAGAATAGGAGTTACGGATAATTATATATATATATATATATATATATATATATATATATATATATATATATTATAAATCTATGCAGTGTATGTAAATATATATATAATATATATGAAAAAGTGCACCCGGAAAAACGAGACGTTATACGCCAAAGATTTGGTCCACGGAAGACCTTGGCCTCATTGTTATCTCTTCTATATAACAATTTGAACATTAGCCAACTAGCCCTGCATTTACTAATGCTTGTATATTCCTCACACGTTTAAATCATAAATAGTTTGAAGGCATATAGATGTTTTTTTTGTTGTTGTTGTTTTATTTATTTTATTTTTTTTTTTTTTGTTTAATTATTTTCTATCAAATACCTGAATATGTTCCAGGAAGAGCCGAAGATCTAATGGAAGATGTTTGAGTAATAAACGATGGTCATATTTTTCTTTTAGAATTCCCACCTGTATTTAAAATAAATAATGATTATTTGAAAGTAAAAATTTTAAGCTAGAACAAAACAAATATTTGTACACGAGGATTAAAGATTAATAAAGTATTTACACTGTAATCCTCACCTGTTCTTTATCTTTAATCTTTCGCCAAGGTAATTGTCCATTAACAAATTCCACAAGCATATAAAATAGTGACCATAAATCATCATGTCTACCCATCTCTTTATTTCGGTGAGCATTTACTGATGCGTATCTAACTGTACCGCGGAAACCAGCCGCAGCACGTGCAGGTCGTACTTCACCAGTTCCAGTAGTGAATTGACGAGCAAGCCCAAAGTCCAACATATAGACAACTCGGCAATTGTACGGATGACGACCGATAGAAAAGTTTGACTGTAATTTTAAATAAATATTATTAAAATTAAAGCATTTCACCTTCGATAAAAGTTTTCGTATTTAATCGATTTATATACTGTTGCCTCGCGACCGCTTTAACTATATTTATTTTCAATAACAAGTCGTACCACCGCGATTACATCTTTACAATAAATCATGATGAGTATATTATCAATGTTATGATATCATAAATGTTGATAATGAGAGTAATGGTAATGACTGATAATAACTTATTAAATAAAAATAGTAACAAAAAAAATTTTTACCGGCTTAATGTCCCGGTGTAGGAAGCCCACTTGGTGGATACTTTCAATTGCTTTTAAAATTTGCAAACCAAGTCGCAAAGTTGTTGACAGAGAAAAGGCACCACGAGGCTGCGCACGTCTTAGTTCTGCTAAATTTTTACCTTGTAATTGCATCACGACATAATTAAATCTGTCATTACGCCCACAACCAATAAAACGACACACGTGATCTTTACCTGGAACAAAAAATAAAAAGACAAATAAATAAATTAATTCAAAGACTTGATTGTCAATTATAAATAATAAATTTAAGGATGTAACTGATTATAATTGTACAATTGAGGTATTGAATATTAATATTTACCCTGAAGCTTTTTTAAAACAGCAACTTCCATTTTAAGAACTTGCTTTGGTTGCCGTGCAGACTCAACTTTCAGAGCAACTTGCTCTTTGGTCAGTAAATCAAGACCTTCATAAATTTCACCAAACCCACCGCCGCCAATTTTCCTCATCTATGCAATAGAAAAAAAATAGTATTAGGTCAATTGCATCATTTTATTTTTTTATAATTCTGTACTAACAGATGATCTACAGAGTTCAGTGTTCTTATAAGGTTTCCCACTCCAAATTTGTACGGTCAGTCGATCGTGTACTCTCTTTTAAACATGAAAGATTACCCAATCAATTACTCTAATAGGTATTATCATTTTATTGACTCTCGTTAAAATATAAATCTGAGGTTACAGATTTAATTAGTCCTTTAGTTGTACACAATGTAAGATAATTTATGTGTGACACGACTGATCTTTTTAATTAATCAAATGAAAAATAAATAAACGAAATAACGGTCTAGTCGATTAAAGACTACTCATATAAAGATGTTAATCATTCGACCTGTGGTGCTTATCATCATCATTATGATTATTACTAAAAGTAATTATAATGTTAATTAACTCACAACTTTCCAACGTTCTTTGACCACATGGCCAGGCTGTAACAAATCCTCGCTCGTCATTGTGATGTTATTGTTCTGATCCGTACTCTCGTCACCTACATGCCTTAACACCAATTTACCCGGATGATTTGGATGCCTAGAAATATTTAAACAATTTTTAATCACAACACTAATTTTTTTCATTATTAATTTTTTTTTTCTTTTTTTACATAAAAACAACAATTAGTATCAATAAAAATTAATTAACCAATCAAACTGGTTAACAAAATTATCAGAGATAATGATGGTATTAAACTCCAACAAAGTTAACGATAAAATGAAATAAAGTAATGAAACAAATTAAATTTTTTACAATGAATTTTTTAATGGTAATTACACGGCACGCCCTGAAAATCACTAGAAATCATTTTAACCTAGAAATAGCAGTGTAATCGAATCAGTATACCATCACTCGAATGATGGAATAGGAATAAAATTCGTCAATAATAAGCGCGGTCCATTTTAGGCAGCCATCACTATTACTACTACTGCTGCTGCTGCTGCTACTGCTGGCAAGTGGGTAGAAGAGGGTGCAGCTAGTTACAGGGGTTGGTTTCTGCTCAATGTGAGAGAACTAAAAGCTCCACCAGCAAGAGACCACCACAACGTCGCCACTGCCGCCGTCACTGGCATCGGCACCATCACCACCCCCCGAGTACACCACCTTAAAACACCCTTCTTGTCGCCTGCAGCTAGTTCCACTGTAGATAATTAATATCTATATATATACATATAAGTATATATAGATATACACATCTACATATCCAATGGCGATTTTTTTTTTCACACATTCATGTTCATGTGAGCTATGAGGTAACTACAGCAGGAATAGATTATTTTTTTTTTTCAATTTTTTTTCTATTCATCTACTCGTGGACATGCCAAACAAGTTCAACGACTAGACTCACGACGAGAACGAGATAATTATCACCAGTAATCAGCGATACCGTTTCATCACTAAATATTTATATTTATATTGCATTAATTTTATCAGATATTTTTTTTTTTAATTTAATAGATGTTCAGTGACTTGTTCCCGGATGATATCCCGGCATAAAACACATATCTCGTGTCTACTTTCAATGAATCCCCACGCATTGGCTAATACCACCACGATCCAAATATAATGACATTTTATTTTTACTAACAATGTCGTCTTCTAGACGATATAGACAATTTTACCACCACCCTCCTTTTCTATCGTAATATCAGGCGTATGTATTTCTCTTTTTTTTATTACCTCCTATAGAAAAAATAATTGTATTTATATTATCAAAAAAAAATTGAGTAGAGTATTAAATAAAAATAAATCTTACTTTTAGATGAACTAAACACCAATAGCACACATCACTGTCAAATCGATAATTATTTATTGTATCATAAATTAATAATTGTTTAATATATTATTTCAATGTCCACTAGAGCTATTAAGCCTAATGTAGTTTCTACAGTAGACTTGCTGTATTAAATATTTGTTGTACAGTTTAAGTGGACAAAATCGATCTATAATACAACCGAACCAACCGAGAGTTTAGGACTTGGACTTGGTGCTCGCGCGAGAGCACCACAACCGCACGAAACCCCGTCGTCGTCGTCGTCGAACTCTAACGCCGATGCGGCAGCCATCTTCAAGAGAAAACGCGATTGGTTGGATCGTCGTACGATGGCGGCACCCACGCGGGATAGCGATCGATGCAACGAGAAATTCAAATTCACTCCTCGCTGTGTATATGTACTCAATATATACCTATTACTGAACCTATAGCTACACACGTATACATATACACATATTTACACATAAATAAAGATATATCGGCATATATAAAAGAGTAGTATAGAAAATTAAATAGAAAAGAGACACGATGACGACGTATAAAGGTGTTAAACCTTGAGACTAACCCTCCTCTTACTTTATTCTTTTTAGATTCTGGTATGTATAGATAAAAACTATCAAAAACACGCATTATAATTTTTACATAGATATATGCCTATTATATATATTTATATAATTTTTTTTTTATTTTCCCTAGACATGAACATCACCTTAACATTCATGACAGTTAAAGTAACAGGAGCGCGACAAGTTTTTTTAATTTTTGTTTAATTAAATGATGTAACATCACTAAAAAAAAATATGAAAATTTAATGAAAATTAAGTTAGCCACTTAAAAATTAAAAAAATTTTTTTAATTGAAAAAATGACTGGAAAAAAAAAAAAAATTTTCATTTGTAAAAAACTTTACAAACTGTCAGTGCAATTTTTTAAAACATTTTTTTTTTTTTTAATTTAATTATTAAAAAAAAATCAAAAAATTAAAAATGTCGGCTAACTTTAGTATCATAAAATTAAATTAGCCGACATTTGAATTTTTATAATTTATTTTATTGAAAAATAATTTTTAAAAAATTAAAACAAAAATTTTCACATGTAGAAAATTTTAAAAATTATACGTGGAATTTTTATAAATAGTTTTTTAGTTCTAATTTTTAATTAATAAAAAAAATCAAAAATGGTTGAGTGTCGGTTAACTTAATATTCATAAAGAAAATTAAAAATTTTATATGGAAATATTTTTAAAATTCTTGGATGCAAATGAAAAAAAAATTATACTTTATTTATTTAAAAAATTCAAAAAAATGTTTAACACCTGGGCATCTCACTATCAGACGCTATCTTGATTATTTTTCCGCTTGTTTAATTATGGCACTTGAAAATAAGCCGGAACATGCGTACAAAATAAACGAAAAAAATATCAATAAACAAATGACCCGATTTTATATATAAATTTTTTTTTTGTTGTATTTTTATAGCAATAGTAATCGATTTTAACGGGTGGTGTGTAGATGATTAAGCATTGGCTGGCGGGAAAATAGATAGCTGGTATGTGTGTATAAATTTAGATTTTTTTTATTTATAATGATATTAAGAATATTGTAAAACTGTTGAAAGAGATTTTTAAAGATTTATATCAGTTTTGATATTCTAAATAATTATTTATTTTTATTTTAGTTTAATGGCATCGCTGGATTGTTAATTAAGCGAAACGTTAACACACGGTCAATTTATTTCTTCGATAATGTTGGGAATTGGAGTAAAATTAGATATCGCTTCTTTATACATGTATTATTTACAGTTTTTTTTTATTCAATTTGTGGTAATGGTAGGTAATTTTTCTTTTTGATTTTTTAAATATTTTCTTTTACAGGCTTATTTGTGGTGGCAAAAGATTGATATGAAGGATCTGGTGGCTTTCAAAAACACGGTGAGATTTAATAAGATAATCATTGGAATTGAAATGTATTGAATTGAGTTAAAATAAAATCCAAGAGCTTTTTCAGTTTATGTTTTTAAGAGTTTGAATAAACTTAATGTAATATTTTGGATTCAAAAGCGAGTTAAATACTTAAACCGTAAACATTCTGTTAATATCCGAGGTCAGAGACTCTGAATATTTGTATTTGCATAAATGAATTTTTACTAACTTGTTCACTAACATTCTTATTTTATAGCGTAACTATCATTTTATTGTAATAATAAACGCGCGAGGTGGGAGCTTATATTTATTAAACGATAAAAAATATCCCAAGTATTTAAAAAATTTCAACTTCATCTCAAGCGATAAAAAGCTGTTGTAAATATATTACTCTAGTTTATTAAATAGAATGCATGTTTTTTTAATTTTAATTTTTTTTTTTGATAAGTTTTCCTCGACTAGTAATAATTCAAGGCGTTAATGAATCAAGTTTGCTTACTATCCGTTTATTTTTATTTACAGATCTTAATCAACAGTAATTAATTTTGTATATAGATTATAGTATCTGTATGAAGACCGGAATAAATTAAGATATAATGTGCAATGATTGCGATACAAGAGCGGAATAGAAGAGACATTTTTACAATGGCCAAGTAGCGCAATCGAAAGCCAGGATATATTTTTTATTGCCAACTAGTACGAGTTGATGTCTCTCAGATAATATGCATATAGGCATATATGTTTGTATACAAGTTAATATAAGAAGGTCATACTCTTCTTGATGCATTACTTTTAAATTTTCGATATCAATAGATATGAATAGATCTTCGAACACTAATTTAGTTTTTTATTTTTAGGTAATAATATTTTGAGAAAGTTAATTTAAAAATACGCAGTTTACAATTTAATCCACTGAAAAAAAAATTAACTTGATTCAAGAGAAAAATTCTTGAACCAAGAATATAATTTTGAAGAGGGTAATTGTCTTGAATCAAGACAAAAAATTCTTGAATCAAGTAAAATTTCCTTAAATCAAGAATTTTTCTACTCAAATCAAGAATATTAAGTTCTTCACAATTATATACTTGATTCAAGAACATTTTTTTTTCTGTGAGGCCAATACATAATAAATTTTTGTGTGAATTTATTCAATACTTATAACTGCATAAAAACAAGTGTATTATGAAGTCTAGATCATTGAAAATAACCAAGAGAAATGAATAAAATAAAATAGGCTCAGTTTACTGCTTCAATAAAAAAAAAACTTCTGGGAATAGATTGCCAAGTCTACTCGTGGTTCTTATTTCTCAAAATGACAGAAATATCTACTGAAAAATAGATTGACGTACATATTGTTATATCATATGTTTAATATATTTATTTTTTAATCGTGGTATTTATTAATCTTGTAAAATAAATTTCTTAGAATCTGTCAAACTTGGATAAAATCAATGTAAATAAAGTCTTTGAGCAAACAGTTGCAGAACTAAAAGCACGTGTCGATCAGTTTGGCCCTCGATCGATACTCAGAAGCTTGCCGGGAGAAGTTTACGAGTTTACGGAGTAGATATTTGTCTTTTGAGAACTCTAAAAATTTATTTATTATTATCAAAACATAAACGATGCCCAGAATATATATTTTTATTCATTAAAATGTTTCAATAATTAAAACTTTAATAAATTTTCAAAGTTTAAATTCATACCAAGACTTTATGTGAGTATTTTTATGCATACGAAATAAAAATAATTAGTGGCTATTAACTTCACCGCGTATTAATAAAGTTTTATGGACATTATCTCAAAGTAAATTTAGAATGTACTACTTCTATTATAACTATTATAATTTCTATTATTTATGTTATTAATATTATTAAAAAATAAATTTTCAGTAAGTATAATTTATTATATATTTAAAATGACAAAACACTTGTGTTAGTAACAAACTAATTGTTTTTTATTTTTAAAACTTTTCAGGTAACAATATTAATAGTCACACGAACAAACACAAAAATCATCACCTACCACTTCATTATTTTTTTTTATTTTATAAATCTTATCCAGTGGGCACTTAATTAAAAAATTAAACAATTATACACAATAGTAAACTAAAAAAAGTTTGTTAAATAACAATTAAATGTTATTGTCGGTGAAGAAAAGTCGACTGAGTAAAGACTAAAGACTAAAGACTGAACTAGTCTCTGGTCCGGTCGAAGGACCGATTGAGAGCAAAATGTGAAGCTGGTGGTCCCGAGTTGAGCCAAAGAGCTCAGAGACGCCCGCGACGAGATTAAAGTACATGTGTGATCATGATCATCAGACACAAATTCACTGGCATTGGGCCGGCCACCTATCGCATCACTAACAATTATTTTTTTCTCGGATGTATATACACAGATCCAAGAACTGAGAGCTACATCCGGTGTACGAACATTATTCAAGGCCTTGTCATTTTATTTGCTCACCAATCAATTGATAAAAGTAAATTTACAGAACATAAACTTTGATTACTATTTTAAAAAAAAAAGTACTGCGCTTATACGACCGGCTCAGCGGCAATAAATCAACGAATTTGTCGCACAATAAATAATATAAATATTTATTAATCACTTGGTCTGTATCTTTACGGTCAACGCACTTTAAACAAGAGCCTAAATTTAAATAATATTTTTCAAAATAATAATAATAATAATAATAAATACATTTCCAACAAAACGGAAAATACATATGCACATCTATCCATACCAAGCATTCTCATACGTTTAATTATAATACATACAGGTGCATTTGTATATGTATACATATTTATGTTATACTCGTATGTCGTGCTAGTTATTCTAAGCCTCTAATTTTGCACGCGACCCAACACAACCACGTGTTTGACCAACGGCTTTCTTCGTGTTGATTAATTTTCATTTGGACGTTAAAAAAAATTTCAACACGCTTAACCAGTAGGTAAGTGTTAAATGTAATTATTTATTTTATAAAAAAATAAATTTTATTTTATTTTAAAATCTCTACCTCTCACATTGACTGTTATCTGAACTCATTGCAAAGGTAATAGTGAAGATATAATAATACTTTATTTATTTATTTATTATAGCTTAACGCCAAACGGCTTTGTACATATTGATATTACAAAAGTTATAAGGGGAAATTAAATATAAACAGTAATAATAAAGAAATAATATAAGAAATATTAAGAAAGAGACAGAAAATAGTTTGTTGTACATGGGGAGTAAATTTGCAACAATACGAGTTACAGAGTTTCTTTTAATTTTGCCAGAAATGATTTATATGAGCCTTCAAAAAAATTTATATTAGTATGATATCTATTAACGAGAGTTGATATTCTGTTTTTTGGACTGTTGATGACGTAATTTTTTTTGGACTTCGTTGTTTTCAGTAGTCGATTATGCCTAAGGTTGAGAGATTTTTCAGTGAACTCAAAGCTGTTTACTAGGTCAGGAGCTTCAATTAGTCCAGTAAATAGTTTAAAGAAGATAGTACAATCGGTGATTTGTCTTCGCTTTTCAAAGGTATCAATCTTGTAGTGTTCAAGAACTTCGCTTGGTGTGACTGAGTGTCTGTGTTTTTTGGCAAACTTGTATGCAAGGATTTTGGAGAACTTATGCCTGACCCTTTCGATTTTATTGATAGAGAAAGCAGTATAAGGTGACCATACTTAAATGTAATTACAATAATTTTTTTTTCTTTTCAGGAATGAACATAAAAAGACAGACTATTTACAAGCAGAACACGTATTACCAACAAGCAGTGATACTTTGTTGGTTGAAATATAAAACACTAGCCAACAAATAACACACAAGTATTTACTTAAAATATGTATACGTGTAGTGGGTATAAATTAACGATGCGGTACGCCTTGAGTAGTTGAGATGAGATGAAGAAGAATATGTGAAGATGAAAGAATACTTTCTTAAATGTACACGGAAAAAAGAAAACTCGAAAAATTACAGTATCACTGAGAAAAAAAAATACTTTTATTAAGAAAATTTTCTTGATAGAAGAATTTATGTTCTTGAAAATTTTCAAGAATATATATTCTTAGCTCAAGAAACAATGTTTAATTGATTGAAATAATTTTTACTTAATTTAAATAAAGCTATTCTTTTGTTTATCTATTATCCAAAGATAAATATTGATGTTCTTCTCTTCAGAAATTAATAATTAATAATAATAGAATATTTGATCGTCAACGAGTTTCTTGAACCAAGAAATTTTTAATTGAGTAAAAGTACTTTTTTTTCTCAGTGTTATATAATGCAACGTAGTGCTTCGTGATAAAAACTAGAAAAATTACAGTTTCAGATGGTAATTATTGCAGATTTTATAAAAATTACATTGTAGAATGTAATATTTACATTAAAAGCTCTGAAAATTAAATTCAATAATTGAATTTGAAAAAATGTTATTTCGAACTGTGATTTTTTTAGTTTTGATTACGACAAGACCGATTTTACATTTTATACTGTAATTATTCCTGTTTTCTTTTTTCCGTATATATAGATATTAGTATTTGCACTTTCCGGGTACGAAGATATTCAAAAGTGGCCAGGCGTATCGCAGTCCGCCCCCGCGTTAAACGACGTTAGGCTATTTTAGCATTGTTGAATGATCCCAACAACTTATATTATGTTAACAAGTATTATATATAAAGTATAAAGCAATATGTTAAGTAAAAGAGAAATGGAATAAGTGATTAGACAGTTTGACACCGGGCGACTTTTTAGCTTGGCATCGAATATTATGCATAAAGACTATTTATCAAAATAACTATTAAACGGAAAATAGCTGCCGGATTATAAGTTAGTCCATTGACACTCGTTGGCATTTGATCAACAGGTTTCACTAGCATTAAAGATCGATATATCGTTCTTTGTATATATATATATACAATAAATTTTATATACAAGTACGATGAACTGGTAATCCTTTATTCAGTAATCATCATCTATGTTCTTGAAAGGTTTTTATTGAATGAAAAATTAACAGAGAAGAAAAAGCAACTAATCTTGTTCTGCTGAGAACTGAAAACAGAGAACAGAGAACAGAGAACGGAACAGAACAGAACAAAGATATAAATATGTTGTGGGAGTTAATAAAAATAATTGTAAGCAGGATTGAGTTGATTGGAATAAAGAAACTCTGTAGGGTAACGTGAGGTCAAATATGTTTGGAGCAGAGCCCAAAGATTAGATTTAACCAACGCGGGAATCCGACAGCGGATGTGTCATTTTTTAGTTTAATTTTCTTTGTACGCTTTCGGAGAAAACTCATTGTTTGGTATTTATTATTATAGAGTTGAGTTGGAGTTAGTATTGATATTTTAAAAGCTAAGTGCGGCTGTGTTGTCGTTACTTTTGATGGTGAGATGCAAAACTCTTGAGGAACTACTAATAATAATTTCAACTGACAGACGAGTAATCACCATGAACCTTTAACTTAAACTACACCGTAACTGGATGTATAGTATACGTTTCCCTAGTTTAAACTTTCCCTATTTTAAACCTGTCTGTGTCCCAGTTACTCTAAAATTCACTCTCGACTAGCGCTCAAAATACCCTCGAGAAAAAAAATTACTGAAATTTAAAAATTGTTGAGATAAAATTATCACAACAAAAAGAAATTACTCTGTTTTTATTTATTATTTTTATAACTTATTGGCCAATAAAATAATCTAGGTCCCAATGAAGGGTCAAATTTAAGTAAGTCCAGGAAAATCTTTTTCATTTGAAAATTTGTAAACTTTTGACTTAAAGCCCATAAATGCAGTAATTAGTTGATTTAATGCCAAATTAATATTTAATAGTTATATTTTTTTCATACGATGTATCTCTATACCTTATAAACTTTTTAATATATGTGCTTTAATATTTAATAACTCTTGATAAAAATTTAATGTAACTACTATTTTTTTCGTATGTCGTTGACCTATATTTTTTTATTTTTAAAAATCAAGACATTTTCTTCAGCTTCTTGATAAAAAATATTTTTATAAAATTTATAAAACATTATTATACAGCTCGTTGATTATAATTAATCTGAAAAAAATTTATTAATCATTATGTAAATATGTAATTAATTAATTAAAAATGAAAACAGATATTTTTGATAAGCGCTCAATTTTATAAATGATTTTTTAAAAATAAAATAATTATAAATTTGTATATTTGACTTGGCTTTTAAAAAATAATTTTATTGCAATTGAATTAATAATAATTAATCGTGAAAGCTTATCCAGAAAGTACTTTGAACAAGGCCGGGTGATAACCATGGGTTTATCATGAAAAATATTTAAATACAATGAGAAATTGAAAAATAATTATTGTGCGTGATTATTTATAATTTTAGAAAGAGTATTTGTATTGAAAAAAACATAAATATATATATATATATATCTATACCCGAAATATAATAATAAAATAAAAATAGGTAGCCGATCTATCAAATAAGATACATATGCGCGCGTTAGAAAAGTTGATGCGAGGGCGCTACCTCCGACGCCCTTCGTTTGACATTCATAGAATTACATACCAAACCTCGAAATTGTCATCATCATCATCACTGGTAAACTCAGTTATACGTCACGTAAATCCGTTTAATTTGCAGAGATACGTAATAACTGCAAGTGGTTATCCAACAGCAAGGTTTTTTACTCAGCGAAGTAATTACAGTCTTGGGAAAAGCGTCATGGCGTTGAATAAACTCAGCATTGACAAAGTAGACCTCACCGACAAAAGGGTCTTGATAAGGTAACGATTGATTTTTTTTTTTTTTAATTATTGTCTTTATAAACGTCATGTGTCAAAATGACTGTCAGTTTTACTGATAATTAGTGGTTATGTCAGTGGATATTTTTTATTAATTATAGAGTCGACTTCAATGTGCCGTTGAAGGAGGGCAAGATCACGAACAATCAGCGAATTGTTGCTGCTCTGGATACTGTTAAGTATGCGTTGGATAAAAAGGCCAAGTCTATTGTGCTTATGTCACATCTAGGACGTCCTGATGGCTCACGTAATACTAAATACACGCTCAAGCCAGTTGCTGATGAGCTTAAAACACTTCTGGGTAAAGACATTTTGTTTCTTGATGACTGTGTTGGTCCGGATGTTGAGAAAGCTTGTGCTGATCCTGCACCTGGAACTATTATTTTACTTGAGAACTTGAGGTACCATGTTGAAGAAGAAGGCAAAGGTGTTGGCCCTGATGGCAGCAAGGTATTAAAAATAATTATTTTATTAATTACTTGTGAAAATTAAGTTAACCGACTTTTAAAATTTTGCATGACATTAAAGTTAGCAGTCACTTGAGTATTTTTTAGTTTTTTTTAAAATAAATAAATTTGTTCCAGAAAATTATTTACATGTCAATTTTTTTTTTTATAATTTTTTTTTGCCATTTTTTATTTTTTAAAAAAATTCTTAAAGTTATCAAATATCTGCTAAATTAATTTTTATAAAATTTCTAGGATTTTTTTTTAATGAAAAAATTATTACAAAAAAAAAATTTCATTTGGAGAAAATTTTAAAAACTCCGAGTGCAATTTTTTAAAAATATTTTTTTGTTCCAATTTAATAAATGAAAAAAATAAATGACATTAAAGTTAGCAGACAATAGAGAATTTTTTAATTTTTTTTAACAAACAAATTTGTTCAAAAAAATTACTTTTAAAAAATTGCATTTTTTATTTTTTAAAATTTCTACACGTCAATTTTTTTTTGCTGTAATTTATTTAAAAAAAAATATTCTAAAAATTATTAAATATCTGCTAAATTTATTTTCATAAAAAATAATTAAAAACGTCGGCTAACTTTAGTATTGTTAATTACTTTGCATGGAATAATTAATTTTTAAATTAAAATCTTAAAATTCTTGATACAGATTAAAGCTGACAAGGCTAAAGTTACTGAATTCCGTGCATCGTTGAGAAAACTTGGTGATGTTTACATCAACGACGCTTTTGGTACTGCTCACCGTGCTCACAGTTCTATGATGGGCGATGGATTTGATGTACGTGCCAGCGGATTTTTGTTGAAAAAAGAGCTTGAGTACTTTGCTAAAGCTCTTGATAATCCTGAAAAACCATTCCTTGCAATTCTTGGCGGTGCCAAGGTTGCTGATAAAATACAGCTGATCAATAACTTGTTGGACAAAGTCAACGAAATGATTATTGGTGGTGGTATGGCTTACACTTTCCTAAAGATATCCAAAGGAATGAAAGTAAGTGTTTAAATAAAATCTTTTTTTTTTTTTAATAAATTAAAATTTTTCGATCAATTAATATTTAATAAATGACTTGTATATTTAGATTGGAAATTCACTGTTTGATGAAGAAGGATCAAAAATTGTAAATGATCTTCTGGAAAAAGCTAAAAAAAATAACGTCCAAGTTCATCTTCCCGTAGACTTCGTAACAGCTGATAAATTCGCTGAGGATGCAGCTGTAGGAGCAGCTGATGTAGAGTCAGGAATTCCCGATGGCTGGATGGGACTTGACGTTGGTCCTAAATCTCGTGAATTATTTGCTGGTAATGACCATATAATTTCAATTTTAATTAATCAAGTTGAGTGAGAAATGGTGTAATTAATTTATTCGTACTTTAGAGCCAATCAAGAGGGCCAAAGTAATTGTATGGAATGGACCAGCCGGTGTCTTTGAGTTTGACAATTTCAGTAAAGGTACAAAAAGTTTGATGGACAATGTTGTTGAGGCAACAACTCGTGGAGCTATCACAATCATCGGTGGTGGTGACACAGCAACTTGTGCTGCTAAATGGAAGACTGAGGATAAAGTTAGTCACGTAAGTACTGGAGGTGGTGCCAGTTTAGAGCTACTCGAAGGTAAAGTTCTTCCTGGAGTCGATGCACTCTCCCCTGCTTAAAGCTCAGGCCCAGTATCAAACAAATAGAATTACAAATAATTACCAAGTAATTGTTATTTTAAAAATGAATAATACCGTAAAGATTGTACTTTATATTTAAAAATTTAAATAAAGTGTATTAACGAACAAGAATTCAATAAAACATGTTCCGTGTTACAATAAAAAGACAAGTTAGCAAAGTATTATGTTTTATTCTATTATCCCATCATCACGAAGAGAAAGACTATAATAATAACAAATAGTATTTCAATGCTCATCTACACAATAACTAGTCGATATAAAAAACACTTTCATATATATATATTAATATTAAATATATTAATTTTAATTATTGATCGCTTAGAAATAATTGAAAAATTTTCATTTTGTTCTTATAATAGTTATTGTTATCTTACAATCCAATTAATGTTTTTACTTTTTCTGCTTAATACGAATTGTATAGATTTATTATATATATAAATAACTTAATTTCATTTATGTACAGTTGATGTCAGATAAAATATCACTTGCACATTTTAAATGTTAATATCGTAAAAGAAATTAATTACATTATACAACAATTTGAGGGATCAACACCCGGTGGCAATACAGGATTACCCATATCGTCCAACTGAAATAAACCCGTTTGCTCACCAATTAAATCATCTGGTGGTTGCCCGCATGTCTGCATCTCATGCATAAGATCCAGGACTTTGTCAAAGCGTGATTTTTTGACTTCGTCAGCATCATCGCTTTTCTCAGTCTCTAATTCCTTACATACCTAAAAAATAATTTCAAGATATTAATAAGAATAGTTATTACTAATTATAAATTTATCACATTTTTTTTTTTTTTTATCAAATATTTCTGAAGTACAACGACATTCTAATTAACAAATTGTCTAACTCCATTTTAGAAAATCTTTCATTTGTACGAAAATATAATTAATTCGAAATTTATTATCACTTTAAAAAACCATTAAATATTTAATAGAGGTAAGGTAAAAGATTCAGTTATTGATACTGGCCTAGTTATTGACATTTGCAATTTTATTTTAATTAAAAAAAAAACAAATTAACTCTAATAAACTAATAAATACAATTTTTGAATTATAAATTTTAAGATAATTGATTTTATGAGAACATTTTATTTTTTTAATTAGAATAAAATTGCAAGTGTCAAACAACTAGGTCAGTGTCAATAACTAGGTCTTTTACCTTATTATATTTTGGTTAGAATCATTCAAATAATTTATTATTGGACTATTACTACATCAAAATGTTAAAAAATTACCCTCTAAAAAATAAGGAGTTAGAACAATTGCTAATTAGACCGTCGACAATAAGTTATAAGTTATCGACTAGTGTATGGCAATAAAAATACTATTTTCTACTTTATAATATTTCACTGTATAAAGTGACCCTATTAATGGCGCTGAGCTGTTGGGTCTTAATGAAGGAAATAAAAGAAAATAAATGAATAAATAGGTTTACTTGCTTATAAATTTCATACTTTTTGCATGAGGAGAAATTGCCTCGTATATCTTTCGAAATCGGCTGCGGCAAGATTACTTTTTTTTTCATCTAGCCAATCGGGATATTTATCGACTAAATCCTTCAATGGTGGATACAATACTTCTTTAGACAATAAAGACTGCATCATCCCTTGCATAAAAGGAAATATATCCCCACCAGATTCGTCTGATGGCTGTCCGAACATCGATAATAGTTCGGTCTCGTTGAAACCAGATCCAGAAGCCTAGTAAGTTTAAAAAAAAAAAAAAAAAAACAATTATAGTATGAAAATTATTATTGACTTATTTTATTATAAAACTGGTCATTTAAAAACCTTCATCTCTTCAGTGGGGTGTGGTATGTCTTTGAAAGCTTGAGCAATAGCCGCTTGGAAATCCAAGTTATCACCGATATCAGCAGCAGACTCGCCATCAGCTCCGGAAGTTGAAGCCATGGATTCTGCTACTGTTTGCGCCATTTTCGCCAATGATGCATTGAAATCGCCGTCACTCCCTGATTAATTAGTTAATAATTGGGATTCAAAATTTTTTCAGCTATGTATCTAGCTCCAACTCCAACTCTTACCAAGTTAACAAAAAATTAATGATAAAAATTTTACTGTAAATATTTGCTGGCAAGCTTGTTTTTCTCTTGATCAATTTTATGATTAAAATTATAACACTGAAATTAACAGAAACTTGACTATTTTTTTTTTGAAAAAAAAAACTGATCCTAGAAATTTTAGATAATTTTTCAGAACTTATAAAGATGGAATTTTTTTTAATAAATTTTTTTTGCTATAATTATTTTTTAAAAAAATTTTCACACTTCTCTCAATTTCAGTGTCATCTGAAATGTAATAAATAATTAAAGCTCAAATTAATTACCATTTTGGATAATTTTTTGCAAATTTTTTTGAAACTGTGAAGCCGTTTGATTAATAAATTCTTGTGACCACATTTCATCAATCAGTGGTTCTGGAGATTTTTCCAGGTCTTTTGTTACCTCTTTTGATGTCGAACTCGCTGTTTGGTCTTGTTTTTGTTCATTTGTTACGGATAATCGGTCAAAGTCTCCTAGAGCATCTGTGAAAAGGGGGAAATTATCAATAAAATTTTTTTTATGTCAAGTACATGCAATTCAATACTATATCATTGTTTTTAAAAATTAATAGAAATCCAAAATTACATAATTTTTCATTATAATTTTAAAATGTTATCTAATAAACGTGGAAAAAATTTTTTTTAGGTTAAGAACAATAACCATAAATTAAAAAGATAACACTGTTCGGCACTATAATTATTGCTTTTAAAATCTGTACTTACTACTTAAAAGATCATCCAATTCAGGATCTGCGGATTGTTTATTCGATTTATTTTTATCAGACATTTTCCGTAGATATATTATCAGCTGTTCAAATCACGACCACCGCCAACTGTCTGATGAATGAAAACTATTTTAAATCTCTTGCACACCTCGGAGCGCAAAGAGTTTCAGGTATGGTGTATGACGGCTATATAGATGTCCGTTCCGTGTAATACAATCGAGATTAAATGTATACGAAGCAAATTTATTCATTACGTGATTGGTGGAATATATCACGAGCATCTAAATATATGCAATTCTATATTCAGGCGCGCTTGCGCGCGCACATTATTTCTAGTAGTGCACAGTGCTTTATTGTTAAGTCAAGATCATACGCGCAAGCGTAATTATTTACCAAACTAAATAAAAAAAAAAAAAGAATGGAATAGAATCAGTTATTGAATTTTTAAAAAACAATGTTATTATTTTAAGCATGTATGAACATAAAATAAAACCACAAACTCCAACTTAACGTGGTCAATAAATTCTTCATTGCTCTCGATTTTATAGAGTGGATTTTTTTTTTTTTATCAACTCAATAATTTATTAAAATTTCTTCAAGTGCGAAAACTATTATTATTATTATTATCTAGTTAATTTCCATTATGATAAAAAATTTAATTACTTTTTTTGTTCGATTTTAAATTAAAGAATAATAATTTGATTTTAATTAATAATTTAAATTTTATCAACATTAATATTAATGAATTCAGTGGGGAGTTACGTATGATAGAAATAAAGACAAGATAAAATAGGTTTAATTTTTTTTATTATATTAAGTATAAAATACAATTGTCCATTTAAACTTTTATTAAATGTGGCCTTGGTCACATAAAAGTTAATCGACTGATATCAAACTGAAGTCCAGCGAGCTGTAAATAAAAGGAAAAATTTAATTAGTTTTTTGATGAACAAACGAAAGAAAATTTAATGATTCTAAATAATGGAATGTCCACTCGTCAGTGTATTTAATGCATATAATTCATTTTACACAAATCTTTCAAAATAAAATGAAGAGCATTAAATTCAACAACTAAAAAGAAGGTATTGCGTATTCTTGCACGTCAATGACTCAAGCATCTCTTAAAAATAACGGAGATGGATCTAAGTAACGTGCCTGTATTCAACGAAAATTGAAATGAACTTACAATTAAATTGAAGAGACATCTCATCCTCGGCATTACTCGATATTTTTTAAGTTCTAGGTACCTGTAAAGAAAAAAAGGATTTCATGAGTATTTTCATAAATTTAAAAGTAAGAAGAGTAATTAGTTTTTTGAACAAATATATCAGCATCCTTTTGGCTAAGCAACAGCAAGCTCTTAATCTTTAAGGCTTTTCAAAGCTATCAAATTTATCATCATGATATTTATGTTGATTACTTAAGTATTAAAATTTTTTAATAATTACCTTGGAAATCAGGGAAATTGGATATTGGCGGCATCTTAACTTCTTTATTGATAACTTCGGAGCTTCATTGCTCTAAAAATAAAATAAATGTTAATTAGCTTTTGTAATTAATAAAAAAAAAATTAAATTTTTTTTTTTAAATTAAAATCAGTATCCTTTTGGCTAAGCAACAGCAAGTTCTTACTCTTTAAGACTTTTCAATAGTTAAATTTCTCATCATTTAATGAAAATTAAATTAGCCGACATCTTAAAATTATTTAAGTGAAAAAATTGAAATAAAAAATTTCACATGTAGAAAATTTGATAAATTACACGTGGAATTTATAAAAACAATTAAAAATTTTTAAACGTTGGCTAATTTTAGTATCATAATTATCTATTTTATACAGAAATAATTTCTATCAACTTACCATTTATTGAAAGCATGAGATTCATATTGGATTACATCCAGATCAGGTACTCTATAACAAATTAAAAAAACATAATTAAGTAAAATCCTACTAAATAATTAATAATACACAGTATTATTTAAATTCATCAGATAAAGGTTACAATCATGGTAGTTTTAGAAGATTCAGAAACTCTAGTCTGAAAAATGTATCATCATGATAAGTTTTTTAGTTAAAATAACTTGTGCTTTTTTAATACAATTATTTAAATGATTAATAAGATTATATTGAATGAATAATTCAATTGTTTAAGTTAAAAATATTACAATTTTTAAACACGTGGTCGACACCATGTGGTTTTAAAAATTAAAATAGGTAAATTGATATTTTAATTGTTTATAACTTACTTTTCAGGATGGATTATCAACCTCCCAGCTCAACATCCATTGAATAGAAATTTTAAACAAAAGGAACATATTTAATAAATATGTCCTTAAATAAATTAAAGTCCTTAGCGGGAAAAAAAACCGACCGCTCACGATCAGAGATGGCTGGGAAATGAACGAGCTTCGTTGATTTTTGTAACACTGCAATACAGCAAATTAGAAAGGATGTGACGTCATATTATACGCAGCAGCACTTGACAATTACCAGATTAACAGTTCTTGTAGCGCTCCCTATAATTTTAGTTTCACACGCGGCAAACTCCGGAATTCAATAATTTGAACAAGACTTAAAAAAACTTTAATCTATAACAGTAGTTTTGCTTTGTGTTGTTTTATAAATAATTAATAAATTAATTATGATACTAAATTTAACAGACACCTAACAATTTTTTAGAATTTTGTAATTATTAAATTATTATCAAAACAATTTAGCTAAAATATTCCACTTGTAGAAATTAAAAAAAATTACAAGTCCGAATTTTTTTAAATATTTTTTTTTATTATAATTGATAGATATGTCAAAAAAATTTCAAGAATTGTCCGATCTGTTAATTTAAGTGTCATAATTAATTAAAAAGATTTGTATAAGTTATATTGTGTAATTCTATGGTAAGGTTTTGAGGATTCATAAAAGGTATTAATTAAATATAGATAATTTCCATTATAGATCTTTATTTATTTTGCAAATGTAAAAGTTTGCAATTAATATATTAAGAGATTTTAAGCTATATTTAATAAATAAATGATTCACTCTTGTTCGCAATTAATTGATTAATAAATTAATCAATGCGTCACTTTGTTTTTTACATTTTTAACATGAAGATTTCAATTAATTAATTAATCAATTAGATGTTGCTACATCAATTACAATGTTTTATTGAAATTACTTATTGTTTAAATGATTCGAAGACAAACGATATCAATGATTATTTTGATTATATTTTTAAATTTACAGAAATAAAATTTCTTTATTATACATGGACTCAAAATAATCATTGAACACTATCAGCTGATTCATTATTTTTAATGTCTTTTGTAAGTTAAATCACTCTAGTGCTTTACAGTTAACAATTATTCATACTTTGTCATCAAGTGTTTGAAAATAAATGTTAAATTTTGTGCTTCGATTACGAAAAAATTATAATATATTATTATTGTAAATGATCGAAGAATTAGTTTTGTAATCGATTTCATTATTTAGATAAGAAAATATTATTTATTTATTATTTTAAAGTTAAAGATTTATGAAGAAGAAAATGCTTTGACAAATTATTTTAATGTTTATAAGGTTAATCTCATAACTATAATTTAAAATTACATGATTGACTTTTTATTATATAATTATTATCAATGTTTTTTTTTTTTTTTTTTTTCTTTTTCTATAATGTACTAGATATCGAAGAATTACAGTTCAAGCTCAGTCAAAAATGCATTTTCTTTCAACGAGAAATGCTATTTATCAAGAATTTTACTTTATTTTTGTCATATATATTTAAGTAATTATTTACTTTTAAATTCATACACTTACATTAACAAAAGTTTATTTTCTATTGCATAAAATTATTGAAATACCCACAAGAGATCTATTGTTATGATTAATTAAAATTGAAAGAAAAATTATAAATAACATTAATTTGTTTAAATTAATTTAGTTTATTTGAAGAGTTTTTTAATGACAAAAAATATTTTAATTTATATTTAAAATTTTATCAGATTTACTCTTATTACAATAATAATTTCAGTTAAACAATAAATTGCCTCATTAAACTCATTCAAGTTTTGTACTTTCAACAGTTATAATAATAATAATAATAATAATAATAGTTGAATTTTATTTTTGACTATGTGTGATTGATGTAAAAATTTATAGAAAGAAAGAAAAATAAATTAATATAAATAAATAATATTTTACGGTAATGAGAACACAATTAAATCTAATAGATGGTCTGATAAATTAAAAAAGTCAAGTTGATAAAAATTAATTAAATCCATCAAAATTAATGATTATCAAATGGAAATAATAATTATTTAATGAATGATTTAAATGTAATTACATTCAATTACACATGTCACTTTCAATTACTAGTATGCGGAGAAAAAAATGTTAATTATCACGATTTTAATTGAAAATCATGTAATAACTCAGTAATTCACAGTTACTCAAATATTTTTAATGCTGAGATATGTAAATTTACTCAAATCCATTTTCTCAAATTGAACTACAATCTTATATAATTATTTTCTAACGTTTATTGTGTTTCAAACTCACACGATTTTCAAGTATCATTTTCTGTTTATGATAGCTCTCAAAAACATCAGAAAATTCTTCCAACTCATAATTTTAATTACTCTCTTGTTACAGTATAAAAATAAAAGTCAACTAATAAAAAAAAATTTTAAAGAAAATAATTAATTGATTGAAAAAAGAGAGTCAAAAAAATTAAAAGAAACAAAAATTTGTGACTAGCACAAACTGGCTAATTTCTACCAAAGACCTGAAGATATTTATTCTCTCTCTCTCTCTTATCCACATTATTCACATTTCTAGTCACAGTTGTATCTAGACTATCACAGTTTACGATGATAAAAAAAATATTTACCTCAAATAAATAATAAAAAAATAATAATTTTCCAAAAAGAAAAAGTTAATCCAATAATTTCGTTTTGCTCAATACAAAATAATATTAATAGTAATAAATAATAATCTTCGTTTAAAAAATTATAATAATAATTGTCATCAAACTGCGAAAGTATAGATGTTAATACCGTGATAATTAATATTCTAGGCCATCATTCATAAAGAAAACGGTGATTTTTGTTTTTAATTAAACAAATCCAGATATAATATTTTTTAAATGCGCAAATTCATGTCTAATTTAATATAAATTATTCAATATAGATCATTAAAGACAAATATAATGATATTTACTACTATGATAAATTCATTCATTTTTTTAGTAAATAAATTTACAAATATTCAAACCTATAATTAATGATTATTTTCACGCATTTAAAATAAAAAAAAGTTCATTCTAACACTCATTACTTTCGAATGACCATTTACACTACTGGCACCGCTGAAGATTAAAATTCATTCTTATTTTTTATATTAATTGGCGGTTAATCAATGTGCCATTTGGACGTTTATATCTTTAGTTTGATAAACATCTAAACGCTTTAATATTTATATTTCAAGTCAAATCAATTAAAATATTAAACCTTAAGATATATCTTTTTTTTTTTAGTTTATGAATTTTAATATTTTTTTTGTTTTTTGTTTTATTATTTGCATTACCTAACTCTCTCAAACATTCGATTACAATTATACTATCTCTAATACTATTTTGTAAATTTTTTTTTTTTACTTTTTTTCGTCAACATTTTAATTCATTATCATATAATATATTTACTTACATTTATTGTCTCATATCTCATATGAAACCTAAGTTTTAGTTCATGTTAAATTACTTTTTTCCAATTAAAGTTACCAATTCTACTTTTTTATCACAATCTTTTTTTCTTTCAACGTTCCCATAAAAGTGTTTTTTATTAGCAGAAAAAAAACACTTTTATAGTAACTTCAACATTAATAATTTATTTTATCGTAGTACTTTATTTATAAATAAAGTTCTAAAACCACGAGATAAATTATCAGTTAATTTTTTTTTCACTACTAATTCTGCTTGCTTGAATGTTTAGTGAAATATAAAGGCCATTAAATTTTTAAAGAAATTCACTTACAACTTTCAGCAGCAATTATTTAATGGAACATCAATAAATGTATAGCGGTATGAATACGCTGTAAATGCTGAATTCAAAGCTGTTTGTACTTTTTTTATGATTTTCGTAGATTAATCTTTTTTAACCGGATGCTTTGAGTATTTTTAACGTCTCTTCATGTCATGGCGCCTGTTGAGTCTGTATCCCGATCTGCAAAAAAATAACATTTAACAATGAGCAATTAAATTAATTAATCAGAGAATATTTCATCAATTAAATGAGAACGATCACTAACCTGATTCGACTTGGAGATGGAATTGGAGCGTTTTCAGCGATAGCCGGGAGGTTTGAAATGAATTTATCGGTTGGACGTAAGAGTCTGGCAGTTCTTGATGACAATCGCCAAACAAATCTTTGTCTGTAAGGTATTTGTTCTTGTGCGTTGTATTTGCTCATTATTGCCCCAACTCGTTCAAGTGTAGAAGCGAAGCTTGCCTCTGAAATCTATAATTCAAATAAAATGATTATTAGTATTGATGGAATAAAAATAAAAAAAAATAGGCGTGTGTACCAAAGTACACAGGTAAGAAGTGAAACTTTTTTATATGACATAATTTTTTTACTATTTACAATTTCACAGAAATTGGGTCAATAAGAAAAAAAATTTTTTCCGTATAAGATCAAAGCTATTTTAGTATTATAGACATGCATAAAAATGAGATGAGTAATTCATTTTATCATTGCTCTTTTATAATTGAGGAGCTGATTTTCAAAAGGATATCTTTTCATATTTTAACTTAAACGACCAGTTTTCTGAACTTTTAAATATTAATTACTTTGAGAATTATAAAGATTTATAAATGTAAATCGTATTGCAGCTTCATAACCGAATAGCACTTTATAGCTAAATTAAAAAAAGTTCAATACAAATATTTATAATTGAAGATAACCAATTTTTTGTCTCGATTAATCAAAAATGAAAAGATACCCTTTTGAAACTCAGCTCCTCAATTATTGTATTTCATCAATTATAATCGCATCATTATTACCATTGTTGTGATTATTTAGACTCTACCAGTATTTAATCTAAAAATTAGTTAATCAGTTTACAAAAATTATATAACGAACTTTGTTATTCATATTCATTTCATAACTTAGCAAATATAATTCAAAACAGATATTTAATAACTTACTCAATTACACAAGTTATGAGTAAATAATTGGAATTATCTACTTAAAGTAGTACAATTATATGACAGTTAATTTTGTAGGTATGCAATAATTTTATAGAACTCAAAATGAACAAATAAATCATTAGAAACGATGTACATATACATATTTTTATTTTCTAATTATATTTTGTTTTATTTTTAAATGATTATTTAATTGTTTTTAGAATTAATAACGTTTACTAGATTTATTCTTTGTCAATATACTGAACTTTGATAAAAAAAAAACAACATAGCGCATAACCGAAAATCGTGACGATTTTTTTACATTGCTATAAAATTTCTCTCATACATCTATAAAGAAGTTTCACGTCAATAATGATTTAAAATAAAAAAAAAATTATTAATTACCCGGCATATTTTTTGAAGTTCAGTAGCAAACTCAACAAGTCGTAAGATTTGATGAGCAGGTGTCTGAGAAAAATCAACAGGTGCAGAGCTTGGTCCAGCAACTGGCAGCATAGTCGCTTCGGTATTAGATTTCAAACGGTTGACTGCTGAATCCAGGTACGTGCAAAGAAGCACTAGAGCTACCTCAGAGGGTCTTAAGTTAGCACATTCAACGTTACAAGCAACCATTTCAAGTCTTAGAACAAGTTCAGACTCCTAAAAATATAAAATTACTCGGTAAATAATTAAAACTAGAATAGATTATAATAAAAAGTTTCAAAATATAATAATAAAAATTAATTACCTTAACAATGCTGGCGTAGAGTTCACCAAGTCCTAGCTGTGATGCAGCTGCATGGAACATGACGTGAAAGAGACGTAGGAAAGTGAGAGCTGTGATAGGCGTAGTTCCTGGTGCCCACTCCAATTTATTACTGATCAAATCCGACATACGTTTAAGATCGCCTCGAGTGAATTTGAACTGAGAAATAGAGACAAGATGATCCATATCGATTGTTTGTGACATTTGGACGGCAGCTATGTAGAATGATGATACCCTGATGCAGGGCATGTGCTTTGGTTGAGCTTTCATTTTAGTGAGGAAACGGTCCATCAAGTTCATCGCAATGAAGAATACATCCGATGGCAGATCATACCAGACTTTAAGGCATCTTAAAACGTGTGCCGAGCCATTTCTCTCAGCAATTATTACCTCATCATTCTGTAAAATAAATATTTATTCATTATTCATTAAATTATACATACTATCTCCGATAAGATAATTATTAAACATGATAATAGATCTATTTCTTACTTTAGTTATAGCTGGAAGTTGTAAATTAGGCTGGTACTTTACTTCAAGTACCAGAGCTTCTTGAAGTTGTTCAAGAAGTGAGTGGATTGTAACCGGTGCCGGCGAGCCTGTAGTGTCCATTCCTGCGACGTGTGACCAGCGAAATTCAGCAATTAGTTAGTATTTTTGACTAACTTATTAATTTAATGCTCCTTTGCTGGATAACTAGTCACACCACGAAGAACGACCTAGTTGGCTAGCACGGTATCTAAAACAAACAAAAAAAATAAAATATTAAAATCATAAATAAATATTAATCAACGGATTTACATTATCAATTCTTAAAGATTAAAAGCTTAAGTGCACACTGAGAAAAAAAAAAATACTTTTACTCAATTAACAATTTCTTGGTTCAAGAAGTTTGATAACGATCAAATATTCTATTGTTATCAATTATTAATTTATCAAGAGAAGAGGATCAATATTTATCTTTGGATAATAGACAAACAAGAGAATAGCTTTATTTAAATTAAGTAAAAATTATTTCAATCAACTTAACAAGTTCTTGAGCTAAGAATATATATTCTTGAAAATTTTCAAGAACATAAATTCTTCTATCAAGAAAATTTTCTTAATAAAAGTATTTTTTTTTCTCAGTGTAATTTGAGGTAAAAGACCCAGTTATTGACACTGGCCTAGTTATTGACACTTGCAATTTTATTTTAATTAAAAAAAATAAATTAACTCTAATAAATTAATAAATATAATTTTTGAATTATAAATTTTAAGAAAATTGGTTTTTTTAGAACATTTAATTTTTTTAATTAGAATAAAATTGCAAGTGTCAAACAACTAGGCTAGTATCAATAACTGGGTCTTTTACTTTAAATAAAAAAAAATTTTTTTTTTTTAATTTTCTGCTAGCTTACAATTATTATAAGCTCAGCCATTCAAGTCTTAACAAAGAATTTTACAAGTTGAAAAATAAATATTTAAATTACTCAGGCATTATTTCTCTAATATCATCATTGTATCTATTCTTATTTATGAGTAAGGGCAGTACAGGTACTGAATCACGAGGGTAATTAGAATACAGTTGCTTTACATTGTAGTATATACGGTATTGTATAGTACTATATAGTATGACTAAGATACCGAAGGCTAAGGCTATACAGAGAATGACGTAAACACGATAAATTTTCGGTAAGAAAGTGCTCGAAACTAGCCTGTTGAAACTTGCTCAGACTTGTCAAAAACTCACGTGACAATAAGATTATTCTTTTGACATTTTATCCAAATTTATGGCCTTAATGGATGATAAAATTTATTAATAACTCGTTTTTATCATCAATTATTATAATTATTTTATTTTAATGTAACTATTAATATTATGTACTCCAATATCTGCTGTTGAAGATAAAATTTCAAATGAGTTAAAAAGTATTACAAGTAAAATTAAATGAATTCATAATTAGATACTTACGTAAGGTATTCAATAATTTTGGATATTGGTAAATTAATAAATATTTAATGATGTTCCAATGAGGTAGATCTCAATTTTTAAGGTGATGCAAGGCAAGAGTCAGATCTAACGCAATACTTTTTCTTCAAGTTAATTAAATACGTTTATCACAAAAATTGCACAAGGTGATTAATTGAGTAAGTATAAATAAATAATCTTGAATATAAATAATTAATAAATAAAAAATCTAAAATTCAGTCTTCAACGTTGAGCCTTGAGTTGCGAAATTGACTTAGAAGGTTCCAGAAATTCGTAACCTTGAGTTATAATACTTTAAATAAATAAAATTAAATTAATTAAAAAATTGACTAATTATTTATTTAATCATAAGATTGATAATAGAGGACCGGATTAAGTTTGTTTTGGCGGTTAAACAAGTAATTCTTCCAAGTTAAACTTGTAATTTAAAAGTTCGATTGTTCACTTGAATAAATAAAAACTGAGTTACTTATTAATTTTAAAAAACAAAATATTAACGTTGAAAAATTAAAAACTTGAATTTGCAGACGATGAATTTAAAAAATAGCGAATTTTGTAAAAATTTTTTAACGTACTGCGAGGGTGCGCACACTCAGTTATCAGTCTCACTGTTCTCTATTTTTTTGACAAGTCCAGACAAGTTCGTTAAATTCTTCAGCATTGTACCGGGTGACAACTTGACGCGCTTATAACGACCTTAAAGTTCCTTTCATATGAACAGCGTAAGTTTCGCGTTCTGTTGGCTGTCATGGCGTTTCGACTAATGACAGCTCGCGAGTTAGCTCTTGAAAACTGGCGCTAAAGCCCTCGCATTGGCTGCTAGCAACAAAGACACTGCGCGAAGGGACCAGAACTCGAACGGCCGTGCGCACAACAGCTGACGCAATAGTCCCTTTTTTGTTTCAACATTAAGAAAAATAAATAAAACAAACAACACTAATGCATAAACATTATTTAAATTAAACGTCAAATAAATACAACACCATTGCATCATAAAACCTTAAAGTTTTATTAATACAAACTTAAAATAAAACCCCCGTAAAAATAATTTTATTGATTTTTTTCCAGTTTATCTAAATGACGTTAAATACGTCAAAAAAAAACATCCTTGCATTTGTTTTGTTGAATTAAAACAATTATCTCATAAAATCAATATAAATGCGTGACGATTTTTGATGCGTCATAAATATAAAAAAAAAATGGCAAAAGCTGAATTTATTTATCAGAAGCGAAAAAAAATTTTAGCGTGACATTTTTATTATCGAAAGTATGTCAATTACACAACCCACCTAATCCAAATTCAAAATAAAACCTATTAATACTAAAAAGTTAATTTTGAGAGGTGTAATTGCTCAATGCTAATATAAATATTATAAAAAAAAAAAAAAAAAAAAAAAAGGTGACCTTGAGAAGAGGCTGGAGTTACTCCAGTTCATAATCATATCACTTTCAAACCCGTTTTGACGATATAAATAAATCCTACATCATTGGTCTCTTTCATTGAATTGTTTATTTATTTATTTATAAATATCTCAGTCTCGGTTTGTAATAAAAAAATTAACCATTTAAAACATTCGAAATAAAACATTGAAACAAATAGAATTTCAAATGAATTCTTTGTGTTTTGTTTTTTTTTTTTCCCTCCGTTTCATTTCGACGCACTGAAGACAAGCGAGTTCTTTGTTCTCACGATTCAATGTATAAATAATTATGATAATGATGATAATAATAATAAAATACAATATATTTTCTCAGGAAATTCCAAATTAATATTCTTTTTACCACTTTATCTTAAAATCAGACGAGTTAAATTGTTTGTATTATTTTTTTAACAAAAATTCCAAGTAACAGTAAAAAAAAACTAAATTTTTCTGCGACGCTAAAATAAAAAATGTGATTATTAAAATATAAAATAAATATAACCTAGCGAATCAATTGTAAGGTGGCTTGTATATTAAATGAATGACTAAATAATATAGGTAGATATTATTGTATTCATATATTATATGTATAAGATGAAAAATATTAAAAAAAACTTACCCGGGTACTTTCCAAACACTAATCAGCAAATTTAGCCAGCGTTGACCTTGGTAAGTTACTAATAATATAATAAATAAACTAAAGGGAGAATAGTATAAAAGTGTAACAACTGAGTGAGTCGTAGGTGAGTTATTTACTCACTACACTTGGACTCGGTTGCACTCAGTGCTATACTCTACTGGGCTCTGCTCACTCAGTCGACTCGGTTTGACAGTTAGATGGTCAACAAGTAATGGCGTCAGTTCGTACAGCTGATCGCTCCTCACATTATCCCTACTTTTTATTTGCATCACGTACGAGATTATTTGATTAGATGTACACTTTAGTATGAGGAGGAACCATTAAATTAAAAATTTATTTTAAAAAGTAGTTCAGGGTAATTATTATTTATTATCTGTCATCGAGCTATTTTTAGATTTTTTATTTTAATGAATTAAATTAACATTTTATTGTTTTTAATTTGAAATTTAGTTTCATTAAAATATTTATTTTTAGATAGGGTAATTTATTTTGTTTTTTTAAGAATTTTAAATATTAGACATAGAAATCAGTATTAAATCGTAATTACTCCAACTGGACAACTCGATAATTTTTTATCATAAGATAATAATTTAAAACTTGGCATAGTAATAAAATATTTTATTGAAATAACAAATTTATACATCTTACATTTATTTAATTTAAAAATATCAGACAATCAAGGTCAATAAATATATATTATATATCGATAAAATAATAAATATTTTGATTTCAAATTTGTTATTTTTTTGACAGCTGTCCTTCTAAAGTCAATAATTATTAATGACTAGTATAATTTTAAAAAAATATAATTTTGTGTTAAAATTTAAATTCAACCCATTGAACTTTGGAAAATAAACTTTTAATCAATGATGATAATGCAAATATTTAAATTTCTGAAATTAAAGAATAAAATTTTGTTTATTTTATCTTTGACCTTAATAAGTTTCAGCTAAAGACATTCGAAATTTTATTTATCATATTATTGCAAGTATGTAAATTGCGTGAAAAAAGAAAAAAATTATTTTAAGATTAAAATTTCTAGATTTTACTATTGCAAGCATAAATAAATTAAAAAAAAAATATCAAGTTTAATTTTACTAGTCAAATTACCAAAAATATTATCAAACAAAATGATCAATATTTATTTACGAAAGAATAATTTATGATTCATTATTTTTGTCATCATCCAATCGTCTAACAGCTGCTTCTAGTGCAAATAGATGATCGTCAATTACTCCAGGCATTATAGTTCTCATAGCAGAAGAAAGTTTATAAAGATATTCAGTATTAGCACCACTGGGTCCATGAGCATCTATAATATGACTGGCGATTGTTTCGATGTCTTCAGCACCAGCAAAATTCGGATTGTCTTCATGACCAATGTAAATAGTTAATTGAAAAGGTTTTTCTTCCTCTTGGTCCGCTGAAGAAATCAATCCTAATCTCGACGAATTATTGGCGTTTTCTGCAGTTGGATTGCAAGGATAGAAAAGAACTTTTTTTCTTTCATAGCCGCCTTTTTCACGAAAATCTAAATGATTTACAACACTGTCGATGTCCTCAGTGGCTATCTTATAAGCAACGCCCCAGACTTGGTCATCAGGATTATTTGATGCTAGTAGAGTTACCACACGTCCGGGCTGACATTTAAATAATTAGTTAATTGCAAATAAATATTTATAATTCACTGAGTAAATGGATAAATAATTACTTTAGATGGTACTCCACGGTGATCAGTGCTCTTTTGATAAAATCTTCTGATGTAACCTTTGATGTAACCAACAAGTTTCCTTTCATACGGAAAATCAACTTTCCATATCAATGATCCATAACCAAACACCCACATAATTTTATCTATTTTTTTTCTTGTTTCAATAATAAAAATCTAGAAATACAAATAAAATTAAAATATTGGAAATTAAAACAATACTCAAGTTGACAGATAATAAAATTTTTTTTAGAATTATATAGCAATTAAATTATGATAAAAAAAATTTAATTAAAAAGTTCCACTAGTGAAAATTAATAAAAATTACAAGTGAAAATTTTTAGAAGCATTTTTTTATTGTAATTAATTGATTAAAAAAATTTTTTAAATTAACAGCTGACGACTAACTTCAATATTATAAATTAAAACATACCTTTGACAGAAATAATTTTGTTATGGCAATTTTAATTATTTAATATATACAAATAAATTTATCAAAATTCTTCCAAATGTCTTACATAATAATATTGAAACAAAATACAAACAATGATTATTATTAATAATAATAAATTAACCATAACAAAATCACCTGATGTCAATTTTTAAGTGATAATAAAAAAATGGTTTACCTATTATAACCTATACTTGTCAATAAATCAATGTGTTAATTTCATTTTTATACTTTTAATTTTTCTCACGTTGACTCATCGATAAAATGGCAATTATTTTTTTTTTTTTAATCACTTGTTATTGTTTTATTGTAATTAAAACGTACCAGAAAATTTTTTTTGTAAACAAACATCAACAGACAGAAATTTTTATCAATTTATGTGACATAATTTTCAGAAATTTTGAATCCATAATTTTTTATGAAAATAAATACTAGTCCTTTGACGTTTTTGTATCATTTAACTGACATCATAGAAAATTAAAGAAAAATATTTGACATTTGACAGCTGGACTGGCAAACCTATCTTTGTCTACTGGAGATGGTAACTAAGAAAACTACAATTTATGTCGTATAATAAAAATCAACATATGCGATGCGTTGAAAATTGTTTTATTTAAATGACAGCTGCTGAAACTTTAGAGTAATAATTAAATATTTCATTGCTCGATTGTAAAGATAAATTAATTTTACATTTTTTATGATAATTATTATGATAAATGTAAAGAAAAAATATATAAAAAAAAAAATTATATATACTCCAAATGATAAACACTTCAACAGGTGATATTTTTCATTCACGCATTACTTAATATATTAAAAAAATAAATATGTCATCGAATTTCATACTTTGATTAAAAGTAAATATTCAGAGGATACATCTCTTTTCAAAAGACGGAGTCAATTGAGATTAAAGACTAATTACATAATTTTAATCAGAAATGATGAAAATTAATTTAACAGATATTTGATAATTTTAAGAATTTTAGGAGCAAATAAATTGTGGAAAAAAATATGAGAAAAAAAAATTGACATGTAAAAATTTAAAAAAATTAAAAATGCAATTATTTTTAATAATTTTTTGGAACAAATTTGTTTTTGTTAAAAAAAAAAAATTTCTCAATGATGTGACTGACTGACTGCTAACTTTATGAAAATTAAGTTAGCCGACATCCAAAAATTTTTAGAATTTTTTTTTTATTAAAAAAAACCACTACAGAAAAATAAAAAAAATTTTCATTTGTAAAAAACGTGAAAAACTATAAGTGTAATTTTTTAAAAATATTTTTTTGTTCTAATTTTATTATTAAAAAAAATCAAAAAATTAAAAACGTCGGCTAACTTTAGTATTATTCTAACTTTTATGTCATGCAGAAATTTCACCATCTTGGGATTTTATTTAATAAATAAATTAGATCTAAAAAATTAGTTTCAGAAAATTGCACTCATCGTTTTTTACTATTTTTAAGTGCTGAATTTTTTTAAATATTTTTTTTTACTGTTACAATTTTTTTTGTTATAAAATTCTAAAAAACTATAAAATGTCTTTCAACTTAAGAATCATTTATAATTCTGATGTTTGTATTTTTTAAATCTCCGATTTCTTCATACAAAATGAGAGCTCTGTATTTAAAAATTTTCCACATACATATACTTAGTTTTATTGCTTAAGGTTCAAGTACCTACTTACCACTTCATAGAAACCATAAAAAAAATCCGGCTAGAACCGCATATGTGTGAGCCAAATGTTACAGCTCTAATATTTTCTCTTTTTTAAAATAATAAATAATATAAAATAAAATATTTCACTAAAAGTTAAAATCTATTTTTTCAGAATTCTTTATTTTATTTTATTTATCTAATTTAAAGACATAAAAATTGAAGAAAGTTCATTAACATCATTTTAAAATTTTATCCTCTAATTAATTTAGAATAAATAAAAAACCGATGATTACGCGCATGCTCCTCATGATTGTTATTATCCAGTGTGTTTGAAATCTGTTGACAAACACACGTGGTTGACGCTTCGGAGCAGTTAATTGTATTTTTCAATAATTATTTAATAAATAAGTATATTTATTTGTTATACTCAATTATCTTAACTAAAATTAATTATTTCAAGATGTTATCTGTAGATATTTGTCATGATATTTTAGCGATACGTTGTATTGATGATTACGTATTTGTAGGTTAGTATCATTGATCCACTTTATTGTTGTTGTTATTGTTAAAATTGCATGTAGTAATTGCTAAATAAAAATTTTATTTATTTTTCTAGGTATTGGCACCAAGTTAAATATTTTCAGTAATATTGATTTAAAATGTAAGTCAATAATTGAAACTGGCCACCAAAACATTATTCATGATATTGTCCAAAATGGGTCTAATAAGTTAATTATTTTTGGAGGAAAATATTTAAGTATTTTTTCATATGAAATTATTGAAGACAAAATTATGTAAGTTTTAAATTTTATTAATAATTTGAAGAGTAGATTTATTAGTTTATAAAAAAAATTTATTTTTTTCAGAGTAAATAAATTGTCTGAGCATATTTTTAACGACTGGATAATAAGCTCTAATTTTTTTTCAATAAACAACACAGAAGATATTTATGTTTTATTTGCACACAATAATTTATATTTATATAATACATCGTCCAAGAAGTACACTAATGTATTGTGCGAAGAAAAGTGTATATTGTATCCTTAAAAATTTTTTAAATATTTATTTTTAATGATTCTCCAAGAGTAAGTATGAAAAGAACAACAATACTAAAGTTAGCCGACGTTTTTAACTTTTTTTTATTCATTAAATTGGAACAAAAAAACATTTTTAAAAAATTGCATTTCAAGTTTTTTTACAAATGAAATTTTTTTTCTTATTTTTTTTTAAATAATTTTTTCAATAAAAAAAATTATAAAAAATTTTAGATGTCGGCTAATTTAACTTTCATAAAATAAAATAGTTATAACTGTAACCATAAGCGTAGTTATTTTAACCGAGTGATTCTGGGTTACATATATTATCCTTAATTGAATAAATAGGTACAGCGGTTGCATTTCTGCGGAAAAAGATCAAGTTGTAGTATTGAGCGGTACAGTATTTAAAGAAATTTTAATATGGACAGTCAATACCAAAATTGATAATTCAAAAGATGTTAAAGTCTTCTATCGTTTAAAAGGCCACAAGGTAATAATCATACGCTTATTGATAAATAATTATTTATAAACTAGCTACCTTGCAGTCACTATGTGACTGCCGTGACTTGTGAACTATAAATAAATAAAATTTTGCTTCTTTTAATAATGACTTTTGTTAAATTGCACTGTACTTTTTTAATTATTGATGTTTGTAAAGATATAAGCTCATCCTGATGTTATTCTCATCAAGAGCTTTCATTTGAGTACCCACATGAAATTTTGATATATTTTTCATATATACATATATATATAAATATAAATATATGAAAAATTGATGTGGGTATTCAAATGAAAGGTCTTGATGAGTGTAACATCGGGATGGACTTATATCTTTAAAAATGTCAATAGTTCACAAGATACAAGGTCTTTTCTTAATTATTGACATATTTTAAAATACAAACTCATTTCGATGTTAGACTCATTGAGACCTTTCATTTAAGTACCCACATGGCATTTTTTATATATTATCATCATCAAAAATGGACTATTATTATTATCATCAAAAATGGACTATTGGTGAGAACGATATGAAACCTTGAATAGACACAAATTCAAGTCAAGACCTTTGCTTGCAATGACACTAAATTTCACTAAAAAAACCAATTTTATCTTATGACTATCCTGGACATAAAATTTTTCTTATTCTATTAATAATATAGATTAATAAAAAAATTAACTTATTTTTAGGGCGTGATATTTTCTATTTTTTACGACCAACAACAAAAATTGATTAGTTCAACTTCAGATGATCGAACCGTAAGACTGTGGCAAATTAAAAATCCAGAAAATGAAACTGACAATTGGAGTAATTTAACAATTGTTCTTAAAGCAACAATGTTTGGTCATACTGCGCGAGTATGGAAATCATTAATAGTTAATGATAAAATAATTAGTGTAGGAGAGGTAAATTATCTTAGTCAATTTTAAAAAAAATTAATTTACTTTAATGCAATTAATATCTCAATATTTTTTTCAAGGATTCATATATTTTTATTTGGACCCTAGAAGGAGAAGTATGCAATAAAATAATAGCGCATGAAGGCTCAGCAGTCTGGACTCTTGAAGTATCAAAAGACAAATCCACAATTTTTACTGGTGGAGCAAACGGTGGTGTCAATTGCTGGCCACTTAATAAACCGACCCCAGAATTGCTTCCTAAGCTATCATTTACAGACAAACAAATTCCAAAGTACTTGTCATATTTGCACTGTGGAACACTTGTTATTTTTGTAGACAATGGACAATTGTTGACTTACGATCGAGAGCTTGCTCCAAAAGACTCGATTATTTTGCCGAGATACAAGAGCTATTGCTTGATGCAGGTATCTCCCAACCGAAAGCTTATTGCATTCGCGTCCAAAGATGGACATGTCGATTTGTTTCACGAGGTAAATGATAAATTAGAATTGTTTAAGGACGATGAAAGAGTAATGGAGACGAAGATTTATTCTATTCAATGGTTAGATGACAGCTCGATGCTGATATGTGGTGACGCAGGTCATTTAAAAGTACTGAAAATAAATGACGATAATAAATTTGATGTCCAAAATGAATTTATTTTGCCAGCTAGCCGGGAATGTTGGACCACATCCGCGATTATGATAAATAATTTAATTATTTGCGGTGATCGTGCTGGTAATGTTTACGGATTTAATACAAAGTCGGAAAATAAAAATCCTCAATATAATTTTAATAAAATTCATGGACGTCTTGGAGTTCAATCATTTGGAATTATGAATAATAAATTAATAAGTACTGGACGTGATGCTACTTTGAGATTTTATAAATTGATAATAAATGATAATAATGACACATTGTTAAAAGTACTTGATGCTAAAAAAATGCCGATGGAATGGGTCAGCAGAACTCTGAAGACAAATAATGATTTTTTTGTCATTGGATTCAAGGAAATAGAATTTATAATTTATAGTATGAGACTGAATAGACTTGTTTTGAGAATAACCTGTGGAGGTGGACATAGATCATGGGATTGTATTTACATGAATGACGTTATTAAATTTTCTTGTATTAAAAATAAACAAGTTTACACGACAGATAACATATTATGCCAATTTAGTGATACATTAATCACTGGCTTCCATACCAGAGAAATCCATTCTATTGAAATACTCCCAACGATGTTTAATAAAAAACATATGATTTTTATCTCTGCAAGTGAGGATTGTACTTTACGACTGAGTAATTTGCAATTGTCAGAAACAAATGATCTTAAATTAAATTATTTAGATACGTATTATGGTCATATTTCAAATGTAAAAGCTATCGCAGTTATTAATTTAGTTGACACACATGAAGAAACTAAAAATTTGATGTTCACTGTCGGAGGAAGAGCTCAGCTTAAAGTATGGGAAATTTCCATCGATTTGGGTAAAAATATTCTGACGAATAATGATGTAACTGTTGCAGAACTCGCGAAATTCATGATACGTGATATTGACAAAAGCAGACGGAAAACTTGGCAGCAGAAACAACAGACTTACTTTATCGATCCAGAAACACGTTTTATGGATGTCCAAGCATACTTGCAATCTGAAAATAAAATAATTATTTTCATTGCTTGCTCTGATGGGTTTTTGAGAATTATGTCTTATGATATTTCTTTGCGAGATATTAAAATGGTCAATGAAATTTCTTATTACAATCGTTGTATTATAAAAATTCATACTTTTGTACATGAAAAAGAATTAATTCTTATCAGTATGGCTACTGATGGATTTATTAATCTGTGGTCGGTTAATTCAATGATTGAAGAAAGTTTGAATGATAAGAGTACTAAAGAGCCATTTAAACTCTGGATTTCACACCAGTCTGGTATTAATAGTTATGACTTTTGTAAGAAAAACGATAATTATATGCTTTTGACCGGAGGCGATGATAACAAAATTTGTTTAACAATATTCAATGTTGTTAAATCAAATCATGCAGAGTTTGAAGCTAAATTGATTGCTGATTGGAATTCTTCGTTAATTCATTGCGCTCAGATTACAGGTATTTTAATTAAAAATTAGATAATTATTTAATTATCCATTAGGGTGGCGCAAAAAAACCGACTATTTTTTTTTTGAGCCCCGAGTGAAAAAACGTCAGTTTTTGATGTTTTAAGAGCCCTCTCCAAAGAACAGCTCAAAAAAAAGTTTTTAAGAGGTCACTCCAAATTTTTTTAAATTTACAAAATCGTTAAATTTTTTTTTATTTTTTCTCGTTACGTCATAATTTTCTAGACCAAAAAAAAAATAAGTTCCTAAAAGTTTCAATTCAAAATTTAAATTTTGAAAGGTCGCTCATAATTTTTTTCAATCTATTAGTGCATTAGTTTAGATTTTTTCGAGCGACCTTTTACTATTCAAATTAAAATTCCACGCATTTTTTTTTTTTTATTTAGTACAATAATCGATAAGAATACATCACGAGATGAACTAAAAATCAAGCACAACATAGAAAAAATTTTTTTAAATTTCAAAAATCGAAATTTTTTTTTTTTTTTTTGTCTCGTTACGTCATAATTTTCTAGACCAAAAAAAAAAATAAGTTCCTAAAAGTTTCAATTCAAAATTTAAATTTTGAAAGGTCGCTCATAATTTTTTTTAAATTTCAGAGCCAAAAAATGCAAATCCAATTAAATAGTCACCAATAAATTCAAAAAAAAAATTACGAGTGACCTTTTAAAATTCACGTTTTGAACTGAAACTTTCAGGAAAATCTTTTTTTTTGTTCTATAAAATTATGACGTAACGAGAAAAAAAAATTAAAAAAAAAAAGTTCGATTTTTGACAATTTTTGAAATTTAAAAAAATTTGGAGCGACCTCTTAAAATTTTTTTTTGAAGCTGTCCTTTGGAGAGAGCTCTTAAAACATCAAAAACTAACATTTTTTCACTCGAGACTCAAAAAAAAAAGAAAATACTCGGTTTTTTGCGCCACCCTATTATCCATGGATATTTTTAAATTTAGAAAGTTATATTTTGTTTCGATAATTTCTCCTCTATCATCATTAATTAATTTACAATTATTCAGAGTTATTTTTAAATGTCTTTTAGTTGAGAAAAAAATGACTAATTCTTATAAATTACAAAAGTTTCGTCATAATAATAATAGTTTATATTAATTAATTATACTCATACAAAAATATAAAATTAATATTTTATTTTCTTCTTTAGGTGTAAAATTTTATGGAGAAAATAACTTTGCAAGCGTTGCAATAGACCAGCGAATAGTAATGTACCATTACTCATTCAACAAGTCAATTTTATCAGTAACTCCATTGATTAAATTAATAAAATTAACTTCCGTGGCTGACGTACACGGCTTAACATTCTTATCAAATAACAGTAACAACAAACAATTGGGTTGTGTTTACGGGCAAGGAATAGAAGTTATACAATTCGATGAATAAAATAACCTTCTGAAGAATTATGAATTTTATCATATTTAACTGTTAATTTAATTGTAAATAATGTAAATTTGTATATTTAATATAAAAAAAAAAGTTTATATTTTACAACAAATATTGTTTTTATTATTTAAAAACAAAATATAAAATTATAAAATATTGAGGAAGCATAAAAGAAGCGCCGTAGTATGTACCGTAGAGAGGTACAGAGTGCGTGATTACTGTTGTTGTTGCTACCTTGGCTGGTAGCGGTGATCCTGCTACCGATTTCCTAGCTCTTGCTCCTAGACAGCATTACCAGGAGAATAGAATCGGATGCAGGTAGTAGAGTTACGGTGGTGGCAGCGACCGCAGATACGTTGACAATATACTCAGATCGGTTGTACTCTTTACTTGTATTGAGAGAGTGGTAAAGTAATGGTAGGTATGTACTTGCATCGCATGTACATTGTAATGTAAAAAGAGGAAACAATATTTTTATTACAACCAACCGGTTTTCCTGTTTCTTCTCCGTCTTCATATAATCTACTCTCTATAGGTAATGTAGAATTTCTTGCTACATAAATAATTATTTTATTATTATTATTATTATTATTATAGGTCTCAAATACTCCAGTAGTAAATTTTCTATTTTTTAAATTTGTAAATAAGTTTTTCCGAAAATGATCTAATAGTTTCTTCAATAAGTGGGTCGAATAAAATAAATTAATAATTATAATCTGAGTTTTTAAAAAGAATTATTTAATTAATTATTATACAGAAGATTTATAATTATTCCATGAATTTAAAACAGTCTAACTCGTCCTTTTTGCGCAGCTTGCGGTCCAGTGTTAAAACGTCTTGGTGCTTGGAACCTAAGGGGTTCTTCTTCTTCTTGGTCAGGTATAAAAGGCGGTTCACTAGAAAAAATTATCATTTTTATTATAAATGATTAATGATAATTATATTCATAGCCAGTTGGTATATTTATAAATTTAAATATTCAGTATACATACCATCCGGTAACATTTTCAGCAGCGTCACAGGCGTTGATTAACTCATTGAAGGCGTTACCTTCGCCACAATTTTGAAGACGCGGTTTACCGTTCACACAGATGAAATATCTTTGACAGTCATTGGGGCTTCTGAAGAACCTTACAGGTTCACTTACTGCAAAGAGGTTCTGATTCTCATCGGACGGTGACGGTGGACAAGTGAATTTCAAGAAAGCTGTTGAATTAAATTATGTAATTTAGACATAAAATTCAAATTAATTTTTTTAAACTAAATAAAATTAGAAGATATCTGGCGATATTTAGAATTTTTTTAACAAGTAAATTAGAGCAAGAAAAATTTAATAAAAAAATTAATATAAATGCAATTTTTTTAAAAATAATTTTCTAGACCTAATTTGTTTTTCAAAGAAAATTAACTTAGCAGATAATTGATAATTTTAAGATTGTAACAAATTATAGCAAAAAAAGAATAATACTAAAGTTAGCTGACGTTTTTAATTTCTTTATTTTTTTTTTTTTTTCATTTATTAAATTAGAACTAAAAAATATTTTTTAAAAATTGCACTTAGAGTTTTTCAAGTTTATTACAAATGAAATTTTTTTTTTATTATTTTGCAATAATTTTTTTAATAAAAAAAAAGTTCTAAAAATTTTTAAACGTCGGCTAACTTAATTTTCATCAAAAAAGAATGAGAAAAAAAAATTGAATTGTAGAAATTTAAAAAAATTGAAAATAAGACAATTTTTTAAAAATAATTTTTTACTGTTAACTTAATTATTTTTTAAGAAAAAGCAAAAAATTTTGAACTCTGATAATTTTAGTGACATTAAAAAAATTAATAGAAAAAAATTTGACGTGGAAAATTAAAAAAAAATAAATGCAATTTAATAAAAAATATTTTTTTACTTTTAAATTAATTAATGAAAAAAAATTTTAAACGTCTGCTGAATTTAGTTTCATATTTTTTAAAATAAATTATATAATATTTGTATAAGTTAAAACAAAAAATGAAACCTTACCTTCAACGTCACAATCAGCAACTTGATCCGGCCAATCACACCTGTAACTTTGTGCATTGAAGGCCAAACCTTCTGGACAATTGAACATGTAACCAACCCCTCCGGCGCAATTCATGAATTGACCGCAATCTGCGGCACTTTGGCCGACCTTAAAGTAACCATATTGATGAGGGCAGTCATCAGTGGGTTGAGCCGGCTCTATATTTGTAAGCATATTTATTTAGTATTCAAAAGTGATCTCATATTACAATATATCATCATCTAATTATGTAATTATTAAAAATAATAATAGGTTTAATATTTTACTCACGTAGGTTGGGACGTCCTTCACAGCTAATGTCAATAGGATAGCCGCATGGATAATTAAACCGCGCATCGGGATTAAAAAGGAGGCCTTCAGGACAAAATTTTTGTTCACCTTCGCCATCAATACATTCTATGTAAGCATCGCACTGGTTGGGTACCGGAAACCTTCCAGTTCTTTCCGGGCACAAGCCCGAGGATTGTTGAGCAGATCGTGAAAATGATTGTCCAGCAAACGGCGATGGTTTGTTAAAATCCAGGTTGTTTTGTCGGGAATCAAATCGCTGTCTTTGAAATTGACTGAAACCTAATCAGTTGAATGATTAATTTATTAATTAATTGCTCATTTTAATAATACTCAATTTAATAGACATAGCATCTAGCAATTTTTATAGCAATTAAATTATAAAAAAAAAAAAAATTTAACAAGAAAATTCCATATGTAGAAATTAAGAAAAAATTATCATTGCGACATTTTTAAACATATATTTTTTACAATGATTAATTAATTGCTCATTTTAATGATACTGAATTTTATTGACATCTTACAATTTTTATCTTAAAGTTAGCCGACGTTTTTAATTTTTGATTTTTTTTTATTAATAAAATTAGAACTAAAAAATATTTTTTAAAAATTGCACTTATAGTTTTTTAAGTTTTTAATGAATGAAATTTTTTTTTTTATTTTTTTGTAACAATTTTTTCATTAAAAAAAATTCTAAAAATTTTTAGATTTTATATGTAAAAATTTTTAGATTCTATATGTAAAAATTAAGGAAAACTTATAAGGGTAATTTTTTATAAAAATTGTGAGAATTTTCTCAGATGTTTGTTAATTTCAGTATCAATTATTTTGCTATTTTTTAGTAAAAGAATAATTTTTCTAGTATACACATATATTGATTACTTATTTCAAATCTTGAACGTCGCAATAACAAGGGAAAGTTGTATCGTCTTCCCTGTGGCCTGTGGCTCACGGGCAATTACCGCCTTGGGCTTCGAATATCATTGAATATAAATTAGGATCGAAAGATTTTATTCAAGAATCTACTGCGTTACATAATTTTATACTCGATAACTTAAAATACACGCAATTTTAATGATATATTATACATACATATTCGCACATTAAATATTTAGTATTTAAATTGAATTAAATAAATAGTTATGCGAAATTTTTATTTTATATGTCATTTATGTTAATATAATTATTATATTAATTTATTATAAAATTACGGAATTTTTAAAATCACTCGTGGCTAAAGGTTAATTTCAACCGCTCACTTATTGTAATTATCTAATTACTAAATAGGCTTTTTATTAAAATAATAGATACTTACATGTGTTGAGACAGACGGCAAAAATAGTCAGCGCAATTGCATTTCTTCCTTTTAAGTATCCAAACATTTTTATTTTTTTTTTATTTAGTAGTGGTGCTCGTTACTTTAAATGTTAAAAAATAAATAATAATTAATAAATAACTATTAATTTAAAATTTTTCCTTTCCAGAGGCGAAACACTAGTGAGGATTAAACGTTAACTGAAGGTTCCAGATGAATCTTTGGGTGCTTTTATCATTTCGGCGTCGTTTTGGAGAGGGAAGATGAAGGAAAGTGAGAGCATCTCTTGTATTATGTATTAAATGGGCAGACTATAGTTGTATGTAAGGTAACATTGTATAATTCGCTCGATTGAAGGTGGAGGTAAAGAAGAAACAGAAGAAGAGGAAGGTGCGTGCATGATAAATTCATTTATAAAGTTAGATAGCGATTAGGCAATTGAATAAATTTTAAGAATCACATTTCTTTTTACATTTTTATGTACTTTCTTATATTGCATCTAGTTTTAATTTTAATAATAATTAATATTGATGGATTTATGGATGTAAAAGTGATGCGACACGCCTATCAAATTGAGACTTGAGAGTAAAAGTAAAATTTTCCATGGATAGATTTTTTATTCTGGATTTATGTTTATGTTTGAAGATGAAAATATAATTATATTATTTCTATTCTATGAAATATTTTCTAAATGTGAAATTTAATACTTTAGTTCATCAATGTATGAGTGTTAGAAAGAAATGTCAGTAGAGTAAAGGTTTGTGTGAGAGTTATTAAATGTCAAGGCTGAACATTTTTTTTTTTTTTATAAATTATGGATAAAATCGATGAGCTACTCCTAAAAAATAGAATTTTTTTTTTTTTATTTTTTCTTAACGAATATGATATAGAGGAAAATAAAAAATTGAAAGAAAGTTTTATAGGTTTTTATTTAATTGCAAATTAATTTTTTTCATAGTTTATCAATTTATTTACAAAAGAAAAATTCAATGGCAAAAAATTTTGCTATACATTATAAATTATAATTATAGCATATACTAAAAATAATATCACAATAATAAAACTATAAATATAAAAAATTATAGATCTAACCGTATACATGTTGAAATTATAAAAATATACCATGTTCTAGTTTTTTTTTTTTGTACGGTGATAATATCCAAAATTAAGTGATATTAACTTTGTGGAAAAAGCTGGATGTAACATTGATACCTTAAGGATTATAAAAGTCGTAGACTAATATAAATTTCATAGGTGTAAAATGTTGGGCAATAATTACCGTCAGTATTAAGAGGGATGTGTTCTCTTAATTTACATTACATTTCCAAGCGTCAAAAAAAAAATATTGACTTTTTAGAAGAGTTTATTCAACAAAAAGTCAATAATTGATTATTCTCAACTTAAATTCCAAAAAATATTAGCAAAAAAATTTTTGTACCGCTTGGGTTTATATTTTAGTCTAATTAATCACAATTGTCAACAAAAGGAGCGCTTGAGCCACTCGAAATTGCAGCGTATTTTTTGGGGCCTTGAATCGAGCAGAGTTCACTTGATAACTCCATTTCCCTTTTCTTCCGTTCTGGTATAAGTTCCAAAATATCAACAATAATACTTTCAACATATAACACATCGTTACAGAAAATACAGATATAAAGAAAATCTGTATATTTACTGTCGTAGATCCAAGATAATTCAACTTTCCGTATTTTTCCTATTGAATATTCAGTATTTTCTGGAGGCAGTGCTATTATTTGTTTTGTTGACCCGTGGATTAATTTTATTCGTCGACCACTGGAAAATTGTATTAAGAAATTAGAAAAATTATAAATATTTGATTATATTAAAATAATTAAATTTATAAATTTACATACTATGGGGTGATTTCCATGTTTTTAATAATCCCATTATCTCCATAAAATGTAACATTCATCAAACCTTGCATGAAAGTTTTTGCTATAAATGGTTTTGCCAATTTAATTGTTATCCTGTAGTGTCTTCCTATATATTTTTATGAAAGAATTAAATATTTTTTTACAATTCGAAACATGATAAATGTAATGAAAATAAAATTAGCAGACAGCTGACAATTTTCAGAATTTTTTTTTTATTAATAAAATAATTACAAAAAAATTCCACATGTAAAAAATTTGAAAAACTATCCGTGGAATTTTTTAAAAATATTTTTTTATTGCTAATTCAATTAATAAAAAAACAATGAAAATTTTTCACTGTCGGCTAACTTTAATTTCATTAAATGTATTAAATTTAATAAAAAAAAGAGTAACTTACGACAATAAGGATATTTGTCACCAGTAGAAATAAAAAACTTTGGTGGTCTAATAGCAGATTCTTCGGGAATTAATTTCTGTAACAAAGTGGGACTTTTATCAGCATGATATCCCATAATACCGCAATTAACACTGTTGGTATTATTGCACAAGAAACATTGTCCTTCTATAAAATCCTCATATCTCGGACATTCATGAGCTATAAATTGACACTTGGAGTTAATACTCTCGGTAAAAAGTTTTATCGCGCGAGTATGATCGCAAACTTCTCCGAAAAATGACTCCGAACAACCTGGCTGGTCATCACCGTCATTGGGATAAAAATCCAAGTGACCACAGGGCTGATATATTCCTTAAAAATATAAATTATATTTTAACTAATTTTTCATTTTTATTATCTTTAAAAGCTTTTAATAAAAATTAAAGAAATTTTTTAATTTACCTAGCCGTACAATTCTTGAGCTGTCAGTGTGAATAACATCAACAAGTTTTGCATCAGTAGGGTCTAAACGTACATGAATGGGCATTTTCTCAAAATCTGGCATAGCTGAATCTAGCCCTGATATGCGTCCAATTTTACCGTGCAATTTTTCTCCAGCGTATCCTGCAATATGAGCGCCAAGACTGTGGCCTATTAGATGAACATCGTTCAATTTCAAGCCATATTTAATCTATAAAATAAAAGTTTAATAAAGTTAATGTTTTAAAAAGAAGTCCAAGGTATTATATTAAGGTAATTTCAACTTGGTGAATATGGTGGTTAGACCATTTAATATTATTGAAAGATTAATACTATTATTAAATTATTATTTACCATAGATACACTGAAAAAAAAAACTAACTTGATTCAAGAGAAAAATTCTTGAACCAACAATATAATTTTGAAGAGGGTAATTGTCCTGAATCAAGATGAAAAATTCTTGAATCAAGTAAAATTTCCTTAAATCAAGAATTTTTTTACTCAAATCAAGAATATCAAGTTCTTCAAAATTATATACTTGATTCAAGAACATTTTTTTTTTTTTTAATATTTAAGTTCTCGTCCATATTTTAAAAATATTCAAATCATTAGTTCTTGGGAATTTGGACAATAAATAAAGATGTTAAATTATAGGAATTGCAACGTTTCGCTGATTTATTTCAGCTTCATCAGGCAAACTAAAAATAAAAAAATTATTTTTAGTTGGTACAAATCATTGACATATATAACAAAATAAATTAAAATGACAATAGTTACTCTTATGGTTAACATCCTTGTCTCATTTTTACAAAGTCAATAGATGTAATAGAGTAAAACAGCATATTCATAGTCTCAAACATCTCTTTAAATTACAATGTTAACAACTTGTTAGGATTTCTCTCAAATACCATTATAATTAATAAATTAATTGTGTTTTATTTTGCCTGATGAAGCTGAAATAAATCAGCGAAACGTTGCAATTCCTATAATTTAACATCTTCATTTATTGTCCAAATTCCCAAGAACTAATCATTTGAATATTTTTTTTTTTTTTTTGTGTATACCATATCAAAATGATGATTTTAAAATCAGCAGACATCTGACAGTTTAATTTTTTATTTTTATTACAAACCAATTATAAAAAAAAATATATTTTAAAAAAACTAACACTTGTAATTTTTTTTAATTTCTAGCTGTGAAATTTTTTTACTTGAATTTTTTTATTATAATTTAGTTGTTATAAAACTCCAAAAAATTAACATACGTCTGTTAATTTCACTTTCATATTAAAATGGCCAAAATAATATTTAAATTATTATTTTTCGATAACAAAACGATAAAGTGCTACTTTTTTTTATTAACTTATCAAAAAAATATTTTTTTTTTTTGATTCTGCTAGTTTTTTTTTTCTAATTCTGTCGAGGAATTTTTTTAATGTAAAAAAGAGTTTTACATACTTTAATTGAGAAGTAAGTCTGAAAATCGCAAGATTGAAAATTTTGAAACTTCAAGAATTGTTACTAAATATTGTTCTTGAACCTTGAAAAAAAAATTTACAAAATCTGTCGAAAAGTAGTTCTACAGAGGAACTACTCTTAAGTACTCACATGGAGATATTTGATGAGATACGCGATTTCCAAGCCAACAAGTCTAGTATTTCCGGCTGTTTGGGTATAAAATAAAATTATTGAACTACCCCCAGTCCAATCTACGACAATTACGTTGAAATCATCATGTTGAAGAAGTTCATTTTTCATATCCTATTCAATCAAGTATTAAGTATAATGCAAAATTATTTAATAAATAATAATGTTATAAAAATGCATTATAATTCATCATTTTAGCTTACCTTCGCCCAGGGCACATGTGGTGAGCTATTAAATCCGTGGATAATAAATTTAGTTTTGCGTTTTGGGTTAAAATTTATTAGTTCTACTGATTTTATTTTACTCACAACAATAACTTGACCCTATAATAATTTATCAGACATAAAAAAATAATTTTTTAATTTGCAAAAATTTTTTATAAAATTACCTTGGTAGGATCTTCACGTGTATAAATTATGATACTAGTATTAATAACTTCTCGTGGTAGTGGGAGTTTATTTAAATTTCGATTCAGTGTATGATACCAGGTGGGAGTTATGCTGAGACAACCTAGTTCACCGTAACATTTTCTGTTATCTTTATCTGTAACGAACAATCTAATGAGAAATTTTTCGAAAACTTTAATAATTTTAATTAGATAATTTCCGGTTTTTCTACGATTATTTCCCAGTAACTGTATACAAGAGCATTAAAGAAGAAATAACATAAATAGAGGATTAAGAAAATTATTACCTTGAATTTCATCATCCGTATTGTCATCAATGTCATCATATAAAATACTGCTATAATCCATAGCTGATGAAGAAATTTCTGGATTGTTTAATTCATTTCCGTCGCCATTCGTACAGTTTTTTAAGTTGCTATCCAATATTTGTTTTATTCCTATGCTCGTATTTTGATCTTTGTTCAGAATATTTTCTCCCTTGATGATTGTTGGCGTGATAATAATTAACCGGTCAGATCCATTATTAAAGTATAAATTTGAGTCGCTCAAATTACCTGATGCTATTTCTGTCCTTTTATTAATGATTATATCTTCACTATCGATTGAAGTTGGCTTGACTATCATTAAATCTTTACATTTATCATATTTGGAAAAGTTACAAGTGCTATTCGGTATTTCTAATTTTTTAAAATCATTATTTAGAGTCTTATTCTCGGAAACATCTTTAGTATCATTAGAAAAAATTTTCACCATCGAAGTTTCTGATTTCTTGTCATGATTTTCAGTTTTTATGCTAACATTCGTAAAGTTGAATATATCAGGCTCAATATTATCAACATTGGAACTATTTGCACTGGCTTTGGAATTTATGCTGCCATTAATCAATAAACTAGTTTTACCTATAGTATTATCATTAGTAAAAATTTTTTCAGTAGTTATTTCTTCTTTATTGATTTTTATAAATGGTGTGTTAAATTCAGCACTATCTTTAACAGTATCTAGGCTATTAATACTTGTTTTATTATCTTCAGTAAATAACCTATTTTTTTCTGTAATAATATCATTGGAAGTAATTTCAGTATTATTTGTTTTTTTTAAATCCAGGACTGATGATAAATTTTGTTTATTGCTATTAACATTTAAAGTTTTTATATTTAATCCAGTACTATCATTTTTATTAATTAATCTATTTTCTTCCGTAGTTCCCAAACTTGTAGAGACATTTTTAGCTGTAATTTCTTTTTTGGCAAACGATCGATCAATTATTTTTAAAAGGTCATATTTTTTATAAATTAATAAATAAATTATAGATGCCTCGTAAAAAAATCCGGAAAACTGAAAGGGGAAATTGTACTCCTGAAACTCTTCGTGCCGCGAATAGTTAAAAAACAGAAAGTTTAAATGTTAAAAATTACCAATATCAATGTTATTTGCTGCTAAAGTTTCAATAAAAAAATTAATTTTTAATTTTTATTAAATTTTAACAATATAATTCGGAATTTCTAATTTTTAAAATAAAATTAATACTGACCGGAGCGACCTGCCTAATGACCGGGGTGACCCAACACGTTGGGTCACCCCGATCAAACTCATTATTTCTATAATTCTTCAAATATTTTTATTTATCTTCATACTTATATTTTTTAGTCATTGCATTTAGTTCTTCAGATGTCAAAGAATTGAATAAAGTCTTTTTTATTATTCCAAAATGATAATTTTAATATTTTTTTTAATTCACTTCTTAGGTGACCGGGGTGAACCCACACTCCCCTACTCAGTTGATCATTTATTAAATTTATTTTAATTAATTTAGGTTCAACAAGCCGCGTTTGATGATTTACTTTATGAAGTTGATGTAATGTGGAACGTAGCAATGCGATACGACGAACCTAAAGAAAGTCCTACTCATCGACGATCAAGTGTTCCAGCTATTGAATTTGCGTCACCAATACTTCCAGGGACTCCAGCTGGTGACGAAGAAGAGCAAGCCGTTGCTGGGAGATTAGAAATAAGGGTTGTTGATTCTACTGGAGGAGCTACAGTTGTACAAACAACCGCAGACAAGGAACCACTACAAAGTAATGTTTTAAATGTTTTTTAACGATAATAGGATTATTCACTCTCTAAGAGGATTATCAAACAATCTAGCTAGTACTTTTATCATAACAGCTATTGTTATTATTATTTCAGAAAAATTAACGAATGGCACAGCGGGTAGCCCAGCTAGTCCAAACCCGGGACCTGACGAGCCATCGATATATTACGACGCGACAGAAAGTCGCGTGAATACAAGTAATACATCCGCAAATAAACCAGTCACAGCACCGATAGCACCAAATTCCAATCCTGTGACACCTCGTGAACCCAAAGACAATAAAGACCGCGATAATTCAAGGCCACACAGCGCTTACAGTAAAATACCCGTACCCGTTAAAAGTCCACGCTGCTCTTTATCTGAATCGACACCCGATGCAAATACTCCCAATACTAAAACTGGTACAGGCAGTGAACTCGAAAAATCACCTACCACATCAACTCAATTAAAGGATAAAGAGTCTGGTTAGTTTATTTATTTAATCATTAATTTATAAAACAATAATAGCGATTTTATTATTTATTTTTTTTTTTTTTTTCGTTCACGTAGTGTAAATGTCTTCAAGCTGATGTTAGCAGTCGAATTAATGACAGCACACATTATACTATTATTATTATTGTGTATCAATATTATTATTGCATAATGCTTGAAGTTAGACTGTTATTTTGCAAGAGGCTTTTTTTATCATTCACATACACACTTTTGGTCAGAGCGAATTCAGTTCATTGAATCTATTTTCTTTTGTTTATTTTAAATATATAGTTTTAAAAATATAAAAATAGCTAAATTTATTAGTGTTATTATCAATGTTAAAAATTTTATTACTATTATTATTATTATTATAGTTATTTTGCAATAAATTTTATTTTGAGCTTCTTAGCATTACTAACAGCAATAACTTTTAGCAACCAAAGGCAAACTGATCACAGTACATACAATGGAGACACCTCAGCTACGAAGATGTGCAACATTACCTGATGCCAGACCTAATCCAGTGCCGCCTTTGATGTCTACCAGTTCAACGGAGGATGAAAATTTAACTGGATGTACGCCGGCATTGAGACGACGCCGACAAAGTGAAAAATATGTTACTCATGCAAGTCAACTTAATCTACGATTCCAGAGACCGCAGCGACGAAGACCCAGTTCTGAGGTCTTATCTAAATTCTACCCACGAGGTGTGCCCTCGTACCTACTCGAAGCAGGTAAAAGAAACGAGGAAAGCAGTGACAATGACTCTGACAGCAGTGGCCCACCAAACACACAACCACCACCTCCGCCTTCATCACTACCGCCTCATGTGGCTGAAAATAATGCTAGGTATGGCCGTTATCATCAAACAATTTTCAATAGCACGGACTTCTACTATTGGTTACCCCTCCAGACTTTCATGGAATTTTTAGCCCTCCCCCCTTCAATTACCATTTTATTTTTTCTTGTTTTATACTACCTCAGTATGATTTCTTATTACCATTTACTTTGTAATATCCTAAACGTTTCTGTCAGTTTTTCAGTTTTGCAGATAGACTGACGTTTATTTTTCTTAATGTAAATAATGTTTATACTATACTTAAAAGCATAAACCTAGTACTGTTATCCTAAAAAAATTAAAAACTACTTTGAGTGTTGTTTCTAATTGAACCCACTCAGAATTCTACTGTTAATTATGTTAACATTATTTTGTAACGCACCAAATATTATATTTCACACTCATATTTTTATCTGTTAACACACTTCATACATTAAAAAATGTGCTATGTGCTGGTTGAACTTTTGCTGCATGAATTTATCACGTTTTTTATTTTTTTTTATTTTTTATTTTTTATTTTTTTTTTTTTTTTTTGAAAGCTTTATTAATATTTTATACATAAGATTCAGATATTATATAATAGTATTTTTTTTTTATTTTATTGTGAGTAAAAAGAAATATCGGTGTTTATAAATAAATGATATTTATGTTTCAGATGTCGCAGATTCAGACCAGTCCCAGACACAGCGGTAGTTAGCCGAGAATCGTGAGGGGTGGTGATTTGAATCTGCATTGGTCTTGATTCACATCACATACTATTAATAATAATAATGGATAAACACAATAAAAACAGAGTTTTACCACAGCCAACTAGGAATGTGATACCTTTTTGGATCAAATAAGTATAATAGAGCTTTTTTTAGTAACTGTTTTACAGTAATAATGAATTCATTAACTTTATTTAATAGTAATAATTAATAATATTAATCTTAATTGGCTGGCGGGAAATCGAAATCTTCCCTAAAGTCATCAGGAGATTGAATGTGAATGTCACTGTACTTATTAATAATGTATGTGGATTAATGCAGTGCGATTTGTTGCAATAACTGTTATGTTATAATAATAATAATAATAATAATTATTATTATTATTATTATTATTATTATAACAGTTATTATCGAAATGAGATTATAAAAATTATTTCCACTGTGGTGATACATTTGGGATGATTATTAAAAGAGAGCAAGTAAACTAACAACCAAGAAAGAAAACGTTTTAAAGAAGCGCACGATCTCCATTAAAATATATTTAAAATAAATTTATAAATCAAGAATAACAAGCATTAATTGATGAACTAAAATATTGAAAATGAAGATTGTAAATGAAGTTGTTTTTAGTGTTCTCTTAGTTTATTTGCTGATCGATCGATCATTTTTTCGATCGTTATAGCTGTTTGATGGATCTCGAAGTGATGAACTAAAAAAGAAAAAGAAAAATTAATATGTGAAATGTACAAACAAAAATACCAGACATCTAGAAAAATTTCACGGATCCTCATTTTTAAATGCTTTAATAGTTGAATGGCTCTTGTGTGAAAAAAATTTATGGAACGATATGACACGATGATAAACAAAATATATCTATAAATATATAAATAAATATATATATATATATATTATTATATTTGGCCTTGTCTATGCACTGAAAGCCAAAATAATCTGCAGAATATTGTACTATGAGAGTCTTGGTTTAAATTATTTAAATAAAAAAAATAACTTTTATTTTAAATTAAAATAGATAATTTAAAAAATAAAGCAAAGAATAAGTTTTGAGACTCTTGTAATAAACTATTAGCTGCAGTTCGATATTAAATATGAATTGGATGAAAAAGCGGTCGATTCTTTTTAGAGTATAATTAAATAAATAAAATAGGTGTAGCCTTGAGATCGGGGCGAGTGTGCTAGTCTTTAAAAAGCCACCATATATATTTCAACAGAATGCAACAATTTTTAATTAAAAGAACAATTCAATTGTTATTATTATTAATATTTTTATGGTTATCGCAATTTTAAACAGCATAAAATATTTATTTAAATTTTAAATCACAATTATTCCGTACTGTGGAATTATTTTTCCTTTTAATTATTGTTTAGGTATTTGTGATTTTATTTATAATGATTTATTATTGAAGGAAAAGATTATGATAGGTATATCATAGTTATTTAAGACACGTGAATCATTGAGTTTGTTTTTTTTAACTGTACGTAAGAGCAATACAATACCGTATTGTTGTGTGGTTACGTAAAGTTCAACAGAAAATGAAATGAAATATACGTATTTCTTTATAAAAAATTTAATGGAATTAATATTATATAATTATACTGTATGATTCGTATATATAAACAAAAAAAAAAAGAAACATATACCAAACGCAATTATCCGTGTAATGAGTGTTAAAGAAAATGTGTCGCTTGAAAATTATATAATTATTAAAATGATTGGAGTGAATTATTAAAAAAGAAAAAAAAATGTATACCAAAAAGACAAAAAATGCAATATTAATGTTTATAAAATATGAATGTTTATAATCTCTAATAATAATAATAATAATAATAAATTAATAGCTCTTTGTTAATTGATGTCTGGTGATAGGCTAGTGATAATTTGCGATGAATATTAATTTAACCGTGATTATAATTAATTTATAAATCTCGCAATTAGCTAATCGAAATCTAGTCACAGCTAATGCAACCGCGTAATTAACCAAGCAATCAACTTCTCAATTATTTATTAAGTTAGCGATCTATAATATCAATCAAATTATTAGCAAAAGGGCTTTATAATAGTAAGCCTTTATAAATAATTAAATTGAAATTAACAAAATAATTTGAATTACAATCAATTATTTGTGCCATGATTGAATTATAAAATCGTTTTATCCTTATTGTATTTTCAAAAATCAATATTGTATCTACGTTATGATAAAAGTAATTAATTTAATTAATTAAATCAATTCATTCAGTCTTTTTTGAGCACTTTTTAAAAATGTCTCTTTAAACAATAGATTTTTGGAACACTACTTTAACTGATCAAATAATAATTACACTTTCGTTAGTATTATAATAAGAATTTTATAATTTAATTTTGTTTTAATTTAGTGCAATAAATTATTTTCTAAGTAAAGAAATAATTTGGATTTAAATATTAGAGGCCAAATTAATGATATCCTATTATTTGTATAACAATTAATTATCAATAATTAGCGACTGAGCAGTATTTTTACCTAAATTAATAAACTAATTTAATCGATTGATTTATTATTAATTCGCTTCCATATTTATAAACAAATGCAATGTGCAATTTTATTCTCCGTTAAATATTATTTATTATTTATAATTAACGCTTTTATTTTATATAATCGAATTTATTAAATGCTGCACTTTTAAAATAAATTACATTGAAATATCTATATTGTTTAACTAAATTGTAATTGAAGGGGACAAATAATTATAAATTAATCGAATGGATAGATAAAAGTATAAAAAAAAAAATGTTGCATTCCGTTGACAAAACCGCCCAGCATCATTTAGGTTCTTGTACATATTATTATAATGTACCGTAATTGACTCAATATTAATATAATTATCACAGAAGAACAATTGAATTTAATTAAATAAAAAATAATTAATTAAATCCGTAAATATTTATTAATCATTGTATCTTTTCTCCGCTTTGTGATCTACACATTATAAATAAGATTTAAAAAAAAAAAAAAAAAAAAATAACAATTGTCAGTAAGTGTGAACTGTAATCAACTCTGAATTCTCTTAATCCTTAAAAAAAAAAAAAACTTTAATCAAGGAGAAGGATAACAATAAATAAAAATTTTAAATAAATTGTAATTAAGTCGTCCACAACAAAATAATAGCAAACAGTCGTTAGTTTATAATAAAGTCATAATTAAATAATTTTATTTAATTGAAGACTAACGAGAAGATAAAAAAAGATATAAGTAATAAATAAGTAAATAACAAAATTCATAGTGCTTGTAGCTTAATACGTCAATCAATAAATGGAGGAGAGTATGTGTTTGTTTACATAGACTTTTTGGGTAATTAACGAAATTACATACAGTAGTTTTATCTTTACTAACATAATACTATTGCTATGTATGTCGTTAAAAAAAAAAAAAAAAAAATGTTTATTAAATTCGGGTTTCCCAATAACCTTTTTTGAAAATTTCCCGCCTTGAGACTGATGAAAAGAAATGACGTAAAATTTTGTTGAGGTTGGCAACATTGGAATAAATTTTAAGCCAATTGTGTTATTGTTTATTATACTTGTTTACAGGCTGAGTATTATTATAAAAATAAAACAATGCAAATAAATACGCATAATTGGTGAAAACTCATGTAATTAATAAAATTTTGAATTTTGAGCAACGAATAAAATCATTATTTCAAAATAATTATTTAGTTATTAAAAATTTATCTGTTTATTTGTAAGTATCTCAATAAAATACTTTTATTTATTTTTTATTTCATATATTTTATTAATTTTTTACTCATAACCTTTTTATTTTACACACTTTGTTGCAATAGAAGTCAATAAGTTTTTAAAAGGTTATGTCTTCTTTTTTTTTTTTATAGTTGTGAGACAATAATTAATATATAAACGATGTACGGTCCACTATTAATGAATGCTTTGAAGAGATATGTACCTATAGTAACTCTGCCATTCGCCGGCATAATTGGATTCATTGGATACAATTTAGAAGGATGGTTATCAGACAAATATACACCGTCCACTGAGCCTGTCATTGATCAGCGTACGGAAAGGCTGTTAAAAAACATTGATTCCGATGGAGTTCAATCAGCGAAAGTTAAACACAACCCGTTAGATGTAAATTTGTCTCCTTCACTGTCTAATGTTAATAGTCACTAATTAAATACTTAGTTTTTATTTAAAATCTCTACGCATTACTCTGGCATTAATTTTTAGTAATGTGATTGTACAGACTGTTGACACGTTTAATTGTAAGTGTAATATTCATTCATTGTTATTGTATTATTCTTTTGAATAATTAATATTTATTTTTTGAATCAAATCATTGAGATTTAAGTTAGTATTTATTTTAAGGATGCCAAAAGAATAAGGGAAATGCAAGATGATTTATCAGTAAAATAAATAGATCAAGTTTTTTAATTTTAATTTTTTTTTTTTTATTTCCAGCATACAGGTCTATAGAGATGCAAAAGTATCTGTACATAGAGCTAGATATTACAAAATTATTCTATATTTTACAAAATATTTATAAAGAAAAAAACTACAAAATGTAAAAAGTACTGCATAAATTTCATATAGAATTGCTTAAAACGTAATATTGTTCTATTACAATGACAGATTCATGATCCAAGCTTTTATTAAGCTTTTTGTAAGCGTTCTTTACGCAGATCCTTTTTTTAATTTTAGGGAGAGATCGACTTAAATCTAGTCCTAGTTTAAACAATTGTTTAGTATTGTATAGATCTTTACACTCTTGATAGTAACGCATTAAGACTTTTACAATAAAAGTTTTGTTTATTTATTTATTTAGAAAAGGCCAATCGGCAATATACATCCATAAAATTACAATATAAAGAAAATATATACAATTTATAATTTCGAAAGAAACGAAAGAAAATAACAATTTTACATTTTAAAGATTTGTAAAAATATTACTGTTTATCCAGTGAGATTTATTAGGATTCTAAAAAGGAGAGATAATTAATTTATTTAATTAAATTGATTAGTCTGATTTATTAGACCCCAAAAGGAGCTTCTTGGCCATGTTTATGAAGGATCCATAGGTACACGTATTCACGAGGCAAGCTATTCTGTTCTTAGGGCCGTTGATTACATAATGATTTGAAATATTTTTTATTTTTATATAAGTTTATACTAAACTAGTAGTCCGCCCCAGCTTCGTACGGGTACTTAACAAAAGTTTCAAAATTAATTATAATTATAATATAGCCTATGTCACCCGGGGATAGCTTCCCAACAGTGAAAGAATTTTTCAAATCGGTTCAGTAGTTTTGGAGCCTATTCAATGCAAACAAACAATCAATTATTTCTTCTTTATAATATTAGTATTGATTAGTTATTAATTACTATCAAGCATAATATAAACTATTTGATTTTTTTAAAATTTTTTTTGTGCTGAATTTTTAAGGTCATCATTAAAAGGAAAGGTTTAAAAACTCAAACGATCTTATAGAATAAAAATATTCTAAAAAAAATAGTTAAAAAAATTTGCACGTACAATTTTACAAAATTTTTACCCATGGAATTTTTTTGCTAAATTTTTTTCATAAAAATTTAATAGTTACAAAAATATAAAAAATTGTTAGTTGTCTGTTAAATTCAATAATGAAAGAATAAAAGAGTTAAAAATAATATTTGTCATCATCAATAATATTAATCAATGATTTATAAATGCAAAAGTAATTAAATCTTTTTCTCATTTCTCATAACTGAATTTGTAGATAACAACGTGACTGTAGACATCACCAGGTCGAAGAATGCTGTCCGGAAAGTTTTCATGATTGATAGCATCCGGATAGTTTTGAGTTTCAAGACAGAAAGCCGCATGCTTGAAGTAAGTCTGGCCTTCCTTGCCAGCGATACCAGTAGCGTTTCTATCTGGAATAAAATTGCTGGTGTACAATTGAACGCCCGGCTGATCGGAGTAAACTTCAAGCGTTCTTCCAGACTCTGGATGTTTGACTTTGGCAACCAAACGTTTATTATCACTCTTTGACTTCTTATCTTCAGTAAGGCAGAAGTTGTAATCATACCCTCCGCCTGGAACTTTGTCAATAACATCACCTAAAACTGTAGGCGATCTTAAGTCCATAATGCTGTTAGCTACGGATCTTATTTCACCCGTTGGAATGCTCTCAGCGTCAGTTACTGTCCAACGATCCGCGTTCATAGTTATCGAATGTTTGTACAGTTCTGCTGAATTAGTACCCTGAAACATAAACATTTATATCAATTAGATAAAAATTAAAGCTCGTATAATATCAACTTAAATTAATAGTCTTGAGTATAGTCAGCTCTGAAAATATCATACATGGCCAGCTAAATTGAAGTAACTGTGATTGGTCAAATTAATCGGCGTAGCCTTAGTGCTACAAGCTTTCATTTCAATATGTAATGATCCATCGTCAAAGAATTTGAATATTGTTGTAGCTATTACGTCTCCCGGAAAGCCTTCATCATTATCTCCACTCAGGAGAGTCATAACCAGTGAATCATTTCTGATAGTTGACTCCCATATTTTAGAATTCCATCCTTTGAATCCACCGTGAAGAGTATTATCGCCGATATTTTTCGATACTGTGAATTCAATTCCATCTACTTTAAATGTACCTTTGCCAATTCTATTAGCAACGCGTCCTACAGTTGCGCCAAAGTAAGGGTTATCTTTTCCCAAATATCCTGTTAAAGTAATATTAATAATTATCAATCATTGCTAAATTAAAAAAAAATAATAAATCAATATTTAAATGATTAGATCTCGGGAATTTGGACAATAAATGAAAATGTTAAATTATAGGAATTGCAACGTTTCGCTGATTTATTTCAGCTTCATCAGGCAAACTAAAAATAAAAAATTATTTTTAATTAATACAACATTGTAATTTAAAAAGACGTTTGAGATTATGAGGCTGTTTTACTCTATTACATCTATTGACTTTGTAACAATGAGACAAGAATGTTACGGCTGCCCAATTTTAAAACACAGTAACTGCAAAATTTTTAAACCTATTTTTTTTTTTTAATATTGCTGCATTTTTTATAACTTTTAAAAATATTTATATTCAAGTATTTTCTATTCATAAATCAAATTTTTCATCAATTTGGCAGGCAAACTTTTTTTTTAATGAGAAAAATTAAAAAAAATTTCTAAATGTTAGTTACTGTGTTTTGAAATTGGGCAGCCGGTTAACCATAAGAGTAACTATTGTTATTTTAATTTATTTTGTTGTTGTTGTATATGTAAATTATTTGTATAAACTAAAAATAATTTTTTATTTTTAGTTTGCCTGATGAAGCTGAAATAAATTAGCGAATAAATAAATTTGCAATTCCTATAATTATCAATTATCATCTTCATTTATTGTCTAAATTCCTGAGATCTAATCATTTAAATATTTTTAAAATATGGACAAGAACTCAAATATTAATAATAAATCAATACCATCAATATCATCAAAGCCCAGAACAACATCAGCGATATTTCCACTTTTATCTAGTGTCCGCACGGCTCTTATCGTAGCTCCGTAATTTAACACATCAACTTCCTGATTATTGTTATTTTTCAGTGTAAATAATTTAACTTCTTTTCCTTCTACACTGCCCCAAGGTTTCATTTCTATGCTACAGCCAGCCATCGTAGATCTGCAAATTAAAATAATCTTTAATTATTTCACACTCAGAACGCAATTTACCAGGATGACTAATGAGGTGACAATTGTAGATGTACGTGAAAACACGTATGTAATTACTGACAATACGAGTCGTTGTATAACCATTTTATTTCAATAGCATGGAATTTAATCTTTTTTCCTCTAAACCTACGCCTCAGATAAATAACTCCTACTTACTTTTTCCTGTCTAAGAATAATTATTTAACAAGCTTAATATTTTAATAACAAAAGAAATATTTTTTTTTTTTTAGATCAATAATATTAACAACAAAATTAAAACAATGCAATGGATCTGGAGCAAAGATAAGTAAAAGTTGCGTTGCCAGACACAAACCAAATACTGAACGCCGCACCCGGGAAGAACCTCATTGAATTTATTGTCTGCTGAGGCATCATACTACTACAATGATTATTTAATCAAGCTACTTGTGATTTATATTTTTTATTTCGCTCTACAACGATTCTCGAGCCGTTAAAAATTTTTATTACGTTATATCCAATACCTTTTTAATTCTTCGGTATCTTTATCAGCATTGCCGTCATTTAAATTCTCCGTCTCCGTCAATTCACTTGTTAATTTTTTTTCTTTCTTACTATTTATATATTGGTTTCCATAAAATTTACGTTTTTTTACTCTATCCGTGTGACTTTTTCTTCTACTTTTCTTATTCATTTCTATGATATTTAATTAATCGATCGATTAAATAATTACAAACACTACATCAATGCTATACTGGCCCTGAGAATTTAGAATACAATACCGCAAGTTTATTTTTTATGATAAAAAAACTTCATGGGTGTTCGGGTTCAATGATTGTCAGCGATGAAATATACTTTGAACAAGTCTTTAGATTAAAGACTTCCTTATACACACATTGACATTGCAATACATGTAATGTATAATGTATAAGTGAGTTTTTTTAACAGATACTTGAAAAAATAAAAAAAAATAAAAATATTTTAACAAAAATATTTAATTATCTAACAGTTGATTTACTCGATACTTATATTTGTCATTGAGAGCAAGCAAATATTATTGAAAGTGAGTCAACAATTTATTTACCTGGCAATTGAAGGAGGTGTTAGTGTAAGTATAAAAAATAATTAAAAAATTTTCTTATCACCAATCACTAAAGATATCAATAACTGTAAAACGTAATTATTTTCTTTTAAAATTATAATTCAATATACTTTAAAATTACAGAGTCAACTGCGCAATCTTCTATTTTAGTTACGTTAATAGAAAATCTATTGAACTTGTTTTTTATTTTCTATTTATAAAATAAATAAAAATGCAAATATACTTGAGGTCATGCAACATGAAAATTTCATTGATTTAACAGAATGTTAAATATATTTTACATTGATCAAGATAGTTGACTGCAAAATTTTATCAAATGTCAGATTATTTTTATCTAATAAAAAATTTTCTTAACAAATTGACCTTACTCTGTAAAGTATCAAGAATCACGCACTTGTTGATCGTTTTAGTAAAATATGTTAATTCTATAAGTTATTTTTACTTCATTGATCAATTAGTGAAAAAAAAATTATTAATACATAAATTATTGTAGCGTATTTTAAGTATTTAATAATTGTTAAGAATCACGTGCTTAATACTGTCTTATCATTTTAGTAAAATATGTTAATTCTATAAGGGTACTTTTGCTTCATTGATCAATTATTAAAAAAAAAAAAATTTTTAATTCATAAATTATTGTACTTGCGCATTTTAATTATTTTATAATTGTTTTTATTAGTGTAATTTAAAGATTTATATTTGGCTGCCGTTTAAACACGTCATTAAGAAATGTTAAATCAACAAACTGAAAATATATTTTTTAAACTTATATGGACTTTGAAACTACGTCGTGAAATAATAATATTTAGAATAACAATTATTATTATTATAATTACTAATAATAGTAATAAAATACAAACCGAAAGTAAATATTCAGAAGAGTTAAGAATAAGAGCTTGTTGCTTTTAATTATACAGTGCATTTCAAAAGTTTAATTTTATTTTCTAAATTTTATAATACTATTCTTGATCTCACGAGTATTTGAAACTAACTGGTGAAGGGAACGAGTTGAATCATTTTAAAACTCAAGGATTATATTCAAGGATCAAGAAAACGAAATAAAAAAATACTTGATGCATTAATTTAACGGCAGCAAGTTTTTTAACGAAATTTCTAAAAAATTTTTCTCTATTAATTTGTATTGAAGATATAAATCTAATTATCTTTAAATTTTGATAAAAAATAGCTTTCAAATGGATAAATAATGGTGATTTAATTTAATAAGAAATTAATTTAATTGAAATATTTTAAATATTCGATATTTGAAATTAATAAATTTTCTTTGTAATAATTTGAGAAGTTTATCTATAAGTCTCCAAGTTATACAGAAAAAAATTGAGGGATATATTTGTTATCAGATCTCTGTCAATTAAACAATTAAGATAGAGTATTTACATTATTACATCGAATCAGAGACAAATAAAAATTTTTATTTCTCTGCAAACATCTGACATATTTTCACAAATTAAAAACTTGTGATTCAAATATATATTCATCGCTTTTTCATGTTAATACATAATGATAGACTGAGAAAACAGACGTAAATCTTAGAAATAATTAACATAAAAAAAACATATCTGATGATTGAAATAATTAGTAACTAAAAAATGGTGACCAACTTACTAACGCCTTAAGCAATTTTTTTATCTTTAAAATTAAAACATTCAATAAATTGTTACGAAATAAAAGTCGTATCAACGTCAGTAGAAACTGTGATAACTTCAGCACAAATTATTCCGGAGTATAGAATAATTTAAAATTATAAAATGGTCACTAGTAAAATTAATTTTATAAAATTATAAATCTGTAGATAAACTTTTATAACTTGTACTACGTATTGATAACAGTTTATTGTACTCGCTCAGTAAACTATGTTATTATTATTACTTCTATATTTATATAACTAAACTGTAAAGGAAAATACGTCTTAGATTGAACAACTTAAAATTAAATAAAAAAAAAAAAAAGTGTCTCTGACGCACTTTTAAAACAAATAGAACTAATTTAATTTGTTGTTATAAACAATGTATTTCACATTAAAATCACGAGATGTTTTCAAGAGTCTTTAGCATACTATTTTAAAATATTTAACAACACATGGTCAACAGCCTTGATCATTTCTTGTAATCATCTAGATAATTCCCTCTCATTCAAATTCTATCATGTGATTATAAGTTTTTTTTTTTTCATTATCATCAAATAATTTTTAATTATTATACAATTAAAAATCAATTATCAGAGAATCAATCATATTTTTTTTACAATAAAAATATTATATAAATTAAAACTAATTTTTGTACAAATATTTTTAATTCACTTTAATAATATAATGATAGTACATGTAAAATCTTTTTTCAAAATTTTCTAACAATTAAATTGGAATTAAAAAATAATTTAGAAAAAAAATTCCACATGTAGAAAATATAAAAAATAATAATTGCAAATTTTTTTTTATAATAATTTCAAGAATTTTTAGATGTCTGCTAATTTAGTATTAAGTAATAAATAAAATATATATTTTTTGAGATTAATTTAAGTTTTAATTAAATAATATCTGGTTCATCTCGTGAATAAAGTTGGATAATAGCCAATAGCAGTACCATTATATATATATTTATATATAAATAAAAAAAAATAAAAAAATAATACCCAAGTACGTAATTACTTGTTACTGTCTCCTACCACGAAAAAAGTTCCCCTTCCCCTCGGAATAGGCCTGAGCGGAAATCCCCCCATCGAGAACGTGCCGGTGCAACACGACTTTACTTTATCCAAAACCTTGTATTGCTCATTCCTTCATTCACTTTCAACGTATGGTTCGTCAGAGACGCTTGGATTGATAATTACTCCTATCAACAAAAAATATATTGTCAATAAAATATTAGTATTAATTTTAATAATAAATAATAATAATAATTAAAAATAAATTTTATCTTATACAGAAAGTTTAACTTGAATAACTAATAATTTATTTATAAAAACTATAAATAATAAGAAAATAAAACGAGGCCTTGTAGTCCGAACAGTAATTAGCGATTCAGTGAATTTTGCTGGTTTAAACTTTGTTTAATAAATAATAAAATATAAATCCAGACAATGGGTATGCAAAACAAGGTATGTTATATCGATAATAGTATGTATAAATATTTGTGGGTTGTTCAGCTCAGTGCAATGTTCGACAACGAAGGTGACTAAAGTGCGATAAAAAGAGATCGATATCTAGTGCAGTAATACTCCATATATTATTTTTCTCTACCGTACTTGTATTTGTATGATTTTTGTTCCATTTAGTTTAAACTAAGTACAATGTAAATCGGTCGTTATGACCGGAAATATTGTTGAACATTGTAAACGTGGCAGTTAAATCTGAGAACTGACATTTTCTAATAAAAACATGAGTTTTTATTAATATAATAATTAATTAATTTTATTGTAATTAATTCAGGTATTTTTTTAAATCAATGCACATGTATTTTCAATAATTGTACCATTTTTTAGTAATTACAAATTTTAACCATTCCATTGTTTTGTTTCTCTTTATAAATATATAAATAGAGCTTTCAATTCACTCGAAACTTTCTCCTTGTTCTAAATAATAATTATTATTATCACTATATACTTACTCGTGTTTTAAAAATAATCCAAAGGGAGTCTCAAATAATTTTGAACTTGATACATCATAAATTCTCAAAGGTTCTTTTATCATCAGTGTTAATGACAGCGATAATTTACATATGATAACAAAATATTTAATATTATTTTATTCACCAGCGTGATTAATTTATTGATAATTTTTATTGTATTGTTTTTGTGTTTCAAATTAATGTCTCATAAATATAAAAAAAAAAATATTTCCTTTACTGTCTGGTTTTATTACAATAAAAGCAATATTTATCATTTTTATTAGTTTGTTCTTAGAAATTAATGACCATTGTGTTAAATATACATTAATTAATTACAGCAATAAAAATTATAAATAAAATAAACTTCAATAATAATACCTCAAACTTGAATAATAAATAAAAAAATAAAATATATATTTAAGTTATATAATATTGTCGCATATTGGCATTAGATCTCATTAGACAAGATTAAGCGATTATGGTCTTATAATCTATGAAAATGTAATTTTCAGTATTCCAAAGACGTTTATGTAAATATTGATCGCGAATTCGCGCAGGCTCAGCTAAGTACTTTATATATAAATATACATTTTAGTACTGGTTTAGTCATCTTCGAGGTCGTTGTTAAAACTGTATTAGTATAGTGTCGTTTTAACAATACTGTACCAGTTATAAAATGCACTTGCAACAGCACGTAAATACTGGTACGACAGCTAGACAAACTAGGAGGTTGTCACCTTCCTCAGGATCAGATAGTTCTGGTAAACTCAATGAGAATTTTCATTACGTTGTGTTTGCTCAGGCAAGTCTATTATAATTGTGACAACTTGATCTGTACTACGGCGTTATCGAGTACTAGTAAATTATCATTCTTTCAGTAACTTAAATTAAAAAATTAATTATTCAAATAATAATTAAGTCCTTTCCATCACCTAGGACTTCTGTACATCCAAGCACATGTGGATCAGTCATCTGTTTAATATTCATTAAAACCTGTAACATTTTATTAATCAATAATTTTAATAATCCATTTAATTAAATGCAATTATCAATTAATAAATATTTTTTATTTTTAGATGTCTGATAGCAATTCCGAAATGAGGGCTACTGCTGCAAGAATCTGTCGTGATTACCTCCATGGTGTGTGGAAGCATGTCAATGCTGATAATATAGTATTCAAGCACATAAGGTAAAATATAAACAATAACTTTGTTTAATTTTTAAAATTTTTTTATTGCTGAAAAAGTATTTAATAAAATAATTTTAATATTCCAGCGGCGGACTGAGTAACTGGGTATACAATGTACAATTACCAGAAGGTACGACACCTCTGCGTGGAGAACCACGCCAAGTATTACTTCGAATTTACGGACAAACCCACGGTGAGCGTGCGATGGAAAGTATTATTACTGAGTCTGTGATTTTTACGTTGCTGTCTGAACGTAAACTTGGTCCGAAACTTCATGGAGTCTTCCCGGGAGGCAGAATTGAAGAGTACATACCAGCACGTCCGTTGCTGACCAAAGAACTTGCTGATCCTGAACTAAGTGCGATGACTGCTGAAAAAATGGCGCTTTTACACATGATGCAAGTACCTATTAACAAAGAACCTACCTGGTTATGGGACACCATGGCCAAGTGGCGCACTTCTGCTGAAGAAGTGTTGAAAAATGTTGAAGAAGTTGATACGCACTTGATGAAACATATTGAATACGTAAAGTCTATTAATTTCAGCGCAGAGATCGCTTGGTTTAGGTTGGTATTTTTTATTTTATTATTAGGTAAATTTCATAGAAATCAATTTTTTGCATTGGTCCTCATGTCGGAATTTTGTCGTAATATCTCTTTACTAGTCGAGTAAAGTTCAAAAATAACGTTAGTTAAAAAATTTATTTATGTATGTATATATATATATTTATATGTAATAGAACGTGGGATGTTGCCGTGATTGTGTCTACAATTCTCAACGGAATTAGATGAAACTTGGTATACATATTCTTTGGATAATTACCTTGAATGAGTTCGAAAATGAGCAAAATTGATCAATTAATTTAGAAATGGTGGCTATTTAAAATTTTCAAAATAGTTAAAATCACGTTTTCGGTCACTTCATTGATGTATAACTTTTGATTGAAAAGAGATAGCTAATTTTTGAAAAATTCATGTGATAGCTCATGAAATTTCCTTTTATTTATTATATATCACATTGACATTTTGACCATATTTAGTTATTTTATCAAAATTAAGAGTGCAATTGAATCATTTTCAGGCAATGTGTAGTACAACCGACTTATGAATGTTATTCGATCCAGAATTCTCAACAGATCCTAATGAAATTTAGTATACAAATTACGTAGACAATTAGCTTGCATGAGCCTTAAAATGAGCGAAATTCTTCGGTTAGTTCAGAAATAGTAGCTCTTCGAAATGATCAAAATAGTAAAAATTACTATTTCAGTGCCTTCATTTATGTATAACTTTTGATTGAATAGCGATGGCTAATTTTTGATAAATTCATGTGAAAGTTTACAAAATTACCTCTAATTTGACTTATATAACGTTAACTTTTGGACAATTATTAGTTATTTTATCGAAGTTAAGAGTTTAATTGAACCATTTTCAGGCAATCTGTAATACAATCAACTTATGTATGTTAAAATAAATACCATTCAATGTCAGACGAAAGTTATTGAGACAAGATGATAATTCATTCTATGAAATCTACCATCCATTTCAGTGTGGCCGAATGAATGGCGTTTTTATTTTTTTGGTAGTTTGTTTGATTATTAATAATTAATTAAATTATTTAATTACAGATCTCTAGTATCACAACAAAAATATCCAATAGTCTTTTGTCACAATGACATGCAAGAGGGTAATATATTACTACGTCAAAATACCCGTAAACGTGAATTGGTAATAATTGATTTTGAGTATTGTTCGTACAATTACCGAGGATTTGACCTGGCTAATCACTTCGTTGAGTGGCAGTATGATTACACAGCTGAGGAGTACCCGTTTTTCCATGAGAGAAAAGGAGCTGGACCAACAGATGAACAAAAGGTATGTTTTTGATAGCTAAAAAATATTATTCAATGACAACGGGTAAGAATAAACCTTGATTACAATTAAAAGTTACTTTTCATTTATCGTTTTGATTTTTTAAATTAATTGTTTCGCCGTTATATTAAATTACATTGAATCTTTATTTTTATTTGTTAAAATACACGAGCGTATACGTGGTCTATTTTAAGAGATAACTGGAAAATTTTATTTATCTGTAAAAGTCTTTTAAAATTAAGTTGAATGTGATAAACAAAGGATCACGTGTACGCTGTACTGTAGTCCATTAAATTCATAAAAATTAAAAATCGTAAAATCAAAATTGTTAAAAAGTTTAAATAGAGAGATAAAATAAATAAATCGGGTTAATATTGAGGGATAGGACTACGTTGGCGTGCGTTGCGTGTGTATGTATCAGTTTCACAGGACTCTAGACTGCAATTCTCGATGAGACAAGGCTGATGCCTGGTTGGGATTCTAATGGATTCTAATGATCACCGGATAATGATGAACATATGATGCTGCGGCATTACATTGGATATTGGATCCGAGAGACTATATAACTCAGAGAAAACTCAATGAATAAAATAAAGTATCGCTGGGAGAAAGCAACCGCAAGGCTGACTCATAATTATTGCCAGAGCAGTCATATCAACTCGAGACACAACCCTGTACTGATGACGGGGACACAACCTCTGGGTCCCGCAGTGAATCTTCACTTCTTCAACACTCGAGTACCGTCTACACGCACTCTACTCTCAATAATTATTCAATTATTAAATAATCAATCTCCGTCAATAAAACAATTAAGCCGCTTGTGGCTTATTCAATCTTGTCAACTTCCATCAAAGGATCGTTTGAAGACATGAGATATACTGTACAACGGTATATGTTATCTCTTCACTTCCAAACCATCCTCTCTATACTTATTACTATATTATTAAATTATAATTTTGTTCAATTTATTCTATTTTTTCATTCATTTTTTATAAAATCTTTGGAATTTTTTCTTATTATTAATGTTTATTACATATTATCCAACGATTTCTTGACTTCAATTTATTAAAAATCATTAAAATTAAAAATCATTTTATCATGGGAGAATTCGTTACAATATATATAAAAACAAGTTTTATATTAAATCGATAAAAAAATTATTTTATTTATTTAATTAAAAGAATTTCAATAACGGAGAGTAGTAGATTTTTTTAATTTATTATTAAGAAAATTCTAAGCGGTCAGTTAATTTATTAATAATTATTATTTTTAATAGCTCCACTTTATACGAAGTTACTTGAAGACAACTGGCAAAGAAGGAACTACTGAAGAAAACCGTTTGATGGAAGAAGTTAAAGTATTTACACTTGCTTCTCATCTGTTTTGGGGACTATGGAGTGTTGTTAATGCTGGGCATTCAAGTATTCCATTTGGTTATTGGGTAATTTTTTTTTTTAAATCTGTTTAATATTAACATTAAAATATTTATAATTATAATAATCAAGTTAATCAGACCAAAAACGCAATGTTGACAATTATTTCACACTTTATTGCGAAGTTTCGTCGGACATCCCCACTTCAGGCAATCTAAAATACATACATTAAATAAATAAATTATTTCAATAAACCATATCAAAATACAAATTGGCAAATAAGTCTTAAATTCATCATTACAATACATATAAAATAATACAATATTCCATAAACAGATTAAAATACAATCCAAACCCTTTTAATTAAATTAACATAAAATTTGTTTAAAAAAAAAAATTTTTTTTTTTTAATATTAATTATATAAATAGATTTATATTAAACAATTATTGTCAACATTACGTTTGTGGTCTGATCAACTTATTTATTATAATTATAAAATCCCTTGGATTTAATTGAAATAATAATGGAATAAAATAATTGTTTTATAGGATTATGCAGTATGCAGATGGACAAGTTACCAGCACTTGAAAGAAAAAATAAGTGCATCAATAAACAATGAAAGTCAACCACAATGCGGAATTAAAAGAAAAGAGGATCACACGGACTGAAGAAATATAAAATATACGCGCAATAATGTCTAGGCTCTTAATATTCTTCTTAAGAGCCAAGATCAATTCGATTGCTTGAAAGATCATGCGATAATCAGCAATCGTTTTAAACAAGATAAGACGAATGACATCTTTACTGAGCATAGACCATCGTTTTAATTACTAAAATAATATAAAAACGATGTTTTAAGTATATAACATCATAATAAAAGGCTTAAGTATGAGTAAATAGAAAACATCTACATTTACAACGAGTTGGTTGATAGCCTACGTCGTTAACGGATAAAGAAGAATTATTTATTAATAGTTATTATTATTATTCTTCTTACGTTTCCTGTTATTTTTAAACCAACAATGGAATTTCAACCAAGTATAAACAACGGAATTTGAATTAAGGATACGAGTCGATAACTTATACCGAAAAAAATGTTCTTTGTTATGATATGGATAATATTAAGTACGACTGAATGACAAATTATTGTACTTAATAATGGCCGAGTGATTAGTACTTAAAAAGTTATTTTTTTTTTAATAAAATAATGACTAAATTGTGCACTTAAAAACAACGTAGTTAAACAAATTTTAATTTTTAAGCTTTGTATTTTTTATTTTTATCCAATAGTTATGTTTATTTTGAGTATGTTTTAAAAGTCTGATGAAAAAACATTTTAGATTTATTGATGTTTAATATTATTATTTATTATTATTATTATTATTATTATTTAACAAACTAGCTTTTGTAATAAATTTATTATTATTTTTACAAATTAATGTATTAAAGTACCTTTAGGTCGTTATGTATTTTTATAATTAATTCTGTAATAAAAAGAAATATTATTAAAATTATATTTAACTCGATTTTCCTTATTTATATTCCAATGAAAAAAAAATTTAGCAAATGTAATTGCTAAAGTTTAATTATTTTCAGCAAAAAAAAAAAATTACACATTTTTTTTATTGAATTAAACATTAAATTGGTCATAGTAAATTTATGAATATTATTTATTCAAATTTAAATGGTAAAATTTACATATCAAAGTATCTTAAAGTACACAGTAACAAATTATATTTACATCAGATACAAAGTCACTTCTTAACATACTTTTTTACAAAAAAAAATTAATATATTAAAAAGCTTCTTGGGGTAACATAAAAGATTTGTAAGCATTTATAAAATTAATTATCGCACGTTTTATATCCCATCTTGTTTCTAGTAGAAATTTAAATGCCCACTCTTTATTCATGGTCGTAACATTAGCCAGCTTTTTGACCAATTCATCTTTTTCCCGTGTACTCATACTGGTTAATTCATGAGTATCTTCAGCCAATCTCTTCTCAAAATTAGATGAAATCGGTCGAGTGATGTTGGTATCAACGTGGTACTGATCATTGATGATAAGAAACTCATTATCTGGTTGTGCTTGTAAAATAAACGTGCGATTAAACGACAGGATTTGTCCTCCAGAATTGACTATCTTGAAGTGTCCGCGAATGGTAACAGCAGTGAAATTTCGACTGTAGTACATAACGTCGTACTCGAAGGTCGTTCTATCATGGAGACATCGAGGAAGTTTTTTGAGCGCCGAAATTATTTGATCTGATCCACAGTACATTAATTCACGGCATCTGCTTAAATCTAATTTCTCAGAAATGTTTCTATCGAAAGTCATGTACGCCCCAAGATTTTTCCTCGAAGCTCCAGGTTTCATGTTCAGGGTCAAAGAAAAAACAGCTTGCTTGTGATAAAGACCGTACAGGGTTGATTTGTCAATCTGATCATGAATCATAAAGAAATGGCAAGCAAATTGTTTCACAAGTTTCTCAGCATTAGGATGAGGAAAATAATTTTCAACAATCGGCGGCATGTTTAAATTTTCTAGATCAATTCCGTCGAGCTTCAGCAAATGAGGACAGTATTTTTTCGCTGACCCGATGTACTGCTCAGCGCTGGAATAGTTTTCGCAGAGAGGATTTCCATCTAACCAGAGCTCTGTTATATGAAACGAACGTATGGGTGTTAAAGTTTCCATTCCCAATAAATTATTGTTTCTCAAGTCGAGACTTTTCAGTGAAGACAAGTGAGGACATTCCAGAGCAGCAAGACAAGTCAGGTCATTATTCTGAAGATTGAGGTGCTCGAATGGTGCCACAGCTGACTTGGTCAGTCTCAGAACATGACCAAAGGTACGAGTTTGTGACAACGGACAGTAAAATTCCTTAGCGATATCTTCATGACGATGAAAGTTCTTCAAATTGAGACTCTTCTTTTCAGCGTCGTAACGCTTGTTCACAGATGAAAGCAACATCGGTTGGATTGGAACTCTTAAATCCTCAATGGAAGCAAAGCCCAACGTTATCACAAGAATCAATGGGTTGTTATTCGGCACCTTGATTATTAAATTATTTCTGCAGAGTTTTTCAATAGCCGGACCGCAATTCCGTGCAATGAAACAGGTGTCATCCACGCCGGTTGATTGATAACGTACAGGCAGCAGGTCAGCCGGTTCCACTGCGGTGAGAATTGATTTTAATACAAATTCTTTCTCATATTTACCTCCATGAATTATTTTTATTCGGTGCCAAGCGTCGTTGCGTGCCATCAAAGCACGTTCTTTGAACATTCCATCGTTTTTTATTAATTTTGTCGCAGATGATACGTCTAATTGGACGGCGGTCAATGGCATGCAGTTCATCATCATTGCGTTGTAAATATTATTTTTTATCAAACAGGTTTTTTCTTATCATAACACTTGTAATTTTTTTATTTTCACAATTTTTGTTTACTTGTGAAAGATTGTTATTTTAAATTAATCAAAACAACACACCTACACTCTTATATTACACAAATTACACAAAAAAAAATAATAAAAATAAGTTAGTACTAAAAAATGCTAATAGATGACAGAAGTAGAAAATTATTTTATCAACTTATCAGAAAGTTACATTTCTATTTTACCGACAGAAAAAGTAGAAGGCTGTGTAAAATTTATTATTATTTGAAATACTTCCATGACACTGAAGTTAGCTAACAGCTGTCAATTTTTTGAATTTTTTTAACAAATCAATCACACTAATAAAATGCTTTTAAAAATTTCTACTATTAATTTATTTTTTAATTTTCACATATGGAATTTTTTATGAAAATCAAGTTAACCGACATTTAAAAATTTTTATAAATTTTTTATTGAAAAAATTTCAATTAAACAATTAATAAAAAAATTGTCACATGTAAAAAACTTTAAAAACTATAAGTGCAATTTTTTAGAAATATCTTTTTAGATGTAATTTAATTAATAAAAAAAATCAAAAATTTTTACACGTCTTTTAACTTCAGTGTCATAATTTTTTTATTATAATTTCATTTCTATATAATTATAAAAAAATTTTTAGTCTCTGTCAACTTCAGTATCATATATTTGCAGCTTTTTTCTCTCTGACGTGATAAACTATGCGTGATTTCTAATATAATGATACTGAAATTATTAACAGACAATTAATAATTTTTAAAATTTTTGTACCAATTTAATTATTATGAAAATAATTTAGTAAAAAAATTCCACACATAGAAATTAATGAGTTAGAATTTTTTTAAATATTTTTTATCATATTCGATTTTTTATAAAAATTCCAAAAATGTATATGTGCAATGAAGAAACAAATACTATGTAAGTAAAATTTTTTTTAATTTTCCTCTAGATAATAGGGTAGGATTATAAAAGTTATTTAACGTTTTAAGTATCTATATATCTATTATATATAGATATATTCACAATGATAAAATACTTAAACCCGGGGTTGAAAAACTGGCCCTTAAAGGAATAGCAAAAGTAAGTTGTGACGGGAAAAAAAAAAAAATTTTTTTTAGATAAAAAAATTTTTTATTGTTGTTTCAATGTTTTCATTACTCCTAAGTTTTTTAGATAATAATCTGGCATTATTTCACAATTTTCTTTGATAGCATCTTCCGAGTCCACTCCTGAGCTCACCCATAGTTTTATAAATCCACATAAGTGTGCAAATTTAATGTCTGCTGATAATCTGAAAAAATTTCAAATCTAAATTATCAATCGGTTCTTTATTTTCAATAACAGATTAATATAGCGTTTTCTAAAAATTAGTTAAAAATATAATTTAATTATGCTTACGAATCGCCAATGAAAATACATCTTTGTGGATTAGTGATATTAAATTGTTCGAAGATGAAATTTTTCAAATTTTCACATGGTTTCGCATACTCAATCGGTGTTCTATTTGTATGATTTATAATTATGTCAATAAAACATCCTGGACCTGAAAATTTTTATCACAGTATAAATATAACTAAATAATTAAAATAAATAAAAAAATAAAATATAACTAATATAATTAACAATATCTTGTAGAATAGAATATAATTTTACTCATTTTTCTTTGGTACGCTCTTAGTTATTTATAAGTACACACCACTCTCTACACTACATTTTATTTTATTACATCCACTTACAATTATCTTTGATTTAATCTAGTATATCACACTCCTTACAGCTTTTATAACAAATAATAATTTTATACTATACAAAATTACTAGTATCACATTTCTGTTCTTACTCTTATAATTAATTTTGCATTTTTTAGTATACATTATATGTCCGCAGCCCCTTGACAATTTTTGTTATTTAGTGCCTTTTCTTTAAACACTCTTTCTACATCTCTTATAAATGTACATAAGTCTTTTTTTATCTCCCCTTTTAAAGTTTCTATCATTAATTCACTGGACACATCGTTATTTACCTCTTCTAGCCATTTATTTTTTGCTTGTTTGCCTTCCACTGTTATTTTTTCATGAATTTCCTTGCACTTTATAATGTGAATAATCGTTTCTTGTTCTTTTTCACAAATTCTGCACCCCCAGTTATTTTGCCCTTTTTTTCCGTCCCTCCAAATATTACCGCATCGTAATCTAGCCCATGTTTCTTTATCTTCACTTCTTATGTTAACAATATCTTGTATTTATTATTCATAATTTTATTACTCATAATAACTTACCAATTAATGACTGGGTTTTAGAGATCGGTAATTTTTTATCTCTTGGACCAATTAGAAATATAACATTCTCATTTCTAAGTATCGAAGCCGCTCGTAAAAGTCTAGCCCAGTTCATATTAATGTCGAAATCAATAATAACAGCTTTTATTTCAGGGTCAGGCTTTAAAACACTCAATATTCCTGTCATGTTTTCTTCTATGTCTAATGGCTATAATTTAAGAAGCGTTGTAATTGTATCAAAATATAAGTAAGTTAATTTTTCTTACCCCAGTGACTACTTCAATACCATTGTCTGTTAATACTTCTCTAAATCTTTGAGTTGCAATCACATAGGCTTTGCCTTGGAATCCTATTTTTTTTAAATACCAAATGACTGCTTGTGACGGTAAAATTATTTGGTCCTGAAAATAATTAAAGTAATTTTTTGAAATCAAAAAATTAGAATATCAATGTATGTTTATAAAATTTTAAACTTTTAGACTATAAAAATTTTTTAAAGAAAAATATGCAAAATCTACACGGAAAAACAAAACTTAATCTAAGAGAAAAATTTTTGAAAGGAGTAAAATTTACTTAAATCAAGAAAAATTTCTCACATCAAGAATTTTTTATTTGAATCAAGACGAAGAAACTTTTCAAAAAGATTTTCTTGGTTTAAAAATTTTTTTACTAATAAAATATTTACTAAAAAATACAGTAATTATTTACAAGTGGGGTCAACCCATGCTGGGTCATGTTAAATTTTTTTTTTTTGGATCAAATTGATCAATTTTTTTTGGTAAATTGTTTGTTTTTTTATTTACTTTTCAAAAAAAATATATAATATCAAAAAAAGATAAAATATAAATTTTAGCCAAAAACATAAAAGCCAATTTTTTTTCCAACTTTTAAAGGCAAAAAAAAGCTATCGAAATCTTTATTTTTTCCTTTTACGACATTTTTTATCATAAATGCGCGGTAAAAAAAAAAAAAAAAAAAAATAAAAAATAATTAAAAAATGTTAATTTTTCAGCTAGTTATGGCCCAAAAAGGGACAGGACCCCACTTATAAATAATAACCAAAAATACTTACAGCAGTTGCTTCATAATTCATTGTTCGAAATTTGACAATATAATCCTCTACTGAACGAGCGCTATGATTTGACACAAAAACAACTTTTTTGCCATAACTTTCAAGCATTTGTAATGTTTCTAACGCGCCATTTATAGGAGTGTCATTGAGCCATAATACACCTGCAACAAAAATAGCATGATATTTTTTTTTAATCAATTAATCAATTTAAATATTATTAAAAGGATAATTACCGTCACAGTCAGTGAAAACAGTGTCAAAAGAATCTAAAAAGTTTTTAAACTCTTCAGGTGACATTTTGCTAATATCTTTCGGGTGCATTTTAATGATATTGTGTTTCAAACTAATAATACAGAAACTGTTTATCTATTTTATTTTCGACGTATATTTAACAGAAGAATTTATTTAAGTTATCAAAAATATCACTACATCACTAGATAATCAATTGTCTTATCTCTGTTGTTGAACTAATCAGTATTGTTATTGAATGTAACAACTGGTTTTATAAATCGAAGATCGATTTAAGTTGCTTCAAAACCGGATGGAAATACTGATATGACTATGTAACTGATACCGAAACACTAACACTGGCCCGTCGGGAAACTTATTAATATAACAGCCTCAACAGGATGTTTTAAATGATTTGACAAATTTATACAGTGAATGACATTTTATTTTTTCAACTCTTTGTGATATTTTATCATCGATCCGACCTCTTGTGAACTTTTGGAAACTTGGGATAAAAGTTCCCTCGAGTTAAATAATAGCGCGAGTTGAATTACCAGGATATATATTGGTAAACACCTTTTGTGGTGAAAAATAGCGGACTTGATTGTGAATAACTAAGAATGTAGTGACAGATGATAATTCTAAAATTATCTTTCAAGGCTTTAAGACTTTGCTATGTAAAAAAAAAGTTATTCTGTGCTTATCGACTGTATTAAGATAGCGTATCATGAAATTCTATTCTTAAACTTTATTTTTTTGGATGCGTAACAACGCAATAAATATTGAGTATAATAAAAATCGAAGATTTTTTTAATTTAACATTTTGAAATATATTTAATTTAATATGATTAAATGCAGAAAAAATAAATATTTGCTTATGACAAAAAATCAATTAAGTCTTTAAATAATTTTTTAAAATATGCATGTAAATTTTAGGTAAAGTAATAAACTCGATGATATTTATTAAAAAAATTATTTATTGAGCAAAATTCGTCAGAATTCATACCATTGACAATATTAATTAATCATATTATACATGTCTGGCAAGATTCGCATTATTAAATATACAGATAAACATAAACAATTGTGTAAAATATTAAATAAGAAAAAGTAATATTTACTATCACAATCTACTGTTTATAATTATTAAAAAATATCTGATTCTTTAATCTATTCATATTAAAAATGAAAAAGGAAAAAAAATAACTATATTTTATTATTCATAATTATTATCATAATAAATATTCGGCCAGCGCCATAGAATTATTTATAAAATTAAATATTTCTTATAAATATTATTTATGAGTACATGATACACCGATAAAAATTGAATTATTTAGATTTCATATTACAGATAACATTTATACGGATGAATAAGATGCTTCATTATATTATCCTTGACTAAGAAAAAAAAAACCATTACAAATACGGCAAGATTCGTCACTTAATATCTAGATTCCTTTTTTTTTTAATTTAACTGAAATTAAATATCACCGTCTGGGATCCAATAGTTTAATAAATTTATAGCGATATCTTTTTTGAATTTACATTAAAATTTTTTTATCACTTCAATAGTTACTAATTAAAAAATATGAATGTCATGTTAATATTTTTGTTTATGTTTTTCACATTTTGTGATATCAATTGCACTATTTATGAGATTTACCTGAGGTAATTATTTATTTAAATGAGATTCAACATGTTAACTAAACCTATTAATGAGCAATATCAGTATTATATTAATTCATTATCATCTAAATGATATATTTACAATATTTACACAAATCATACTTTATATAAAAATATTTAGCTACTTTTAGAATATGTCTTTAAACTCATCATTACGAATTCATTTTTCGTCAAATCCAGTACTTGTTTCATTAACAACTTCACTATTTGCACTGTTATTAATGTGATGACCATACATTTAAATTTAAACGAACCGATTAAAATATAAAATAGTAATTTAAATTATAAAATTCATAAACTGAAATTTGATTTTAATCGATGGTTACTTTTTTTCAATAATTTACAATAGTCCGCCGTAATTAACATTTGAAAAATGAATTTACTTGTCCGTAATATTTTGATTTTTTAGACTTCACTCTAAAATCACTGTAGCAATATTACTTCCGTAAATAAAAGATATAAAAAAATTTTTAAATTCAACAAGTCAACAAATAAAAAAATCATTTAATATTTCTTTACGTGGAAGTTGATGAGGTCGGCGTGTTGTGAGACATGCTTTTATAAACATCATTAACTTTTGCTTATATTTTCAGAACCACCTTCGTGATTCATTCGTCAGTTTACTTATTAATTATTCTTCTGCATAAAATAAGTAAAGCGAATTATGATATAATAATACAGATGACCTATACAAGGTCTTCTTTGAATTCCGTGTTAACCATTGCAGTCATAGGCGTCATTTCTTCTTTGGGTTCAAGCAAAGAATTGTAATAAGTGTCCATAGGTTTTGCGCGGAATGAATTCCGTTTCTCGTTAAAGAAGTTCAGTCTTTTGCGTTGAAGATCGGATTCGAACCACTGTCCTGGCCTTGCAGGTGACCCTCTCGGCCGGTACAACATTATCTTCACGATGCTCCACACGAGGAAGATTATTCCTCCCAAGAAGAGCGCGTAGATAGCGACATCTTGAACTACCGGTAACACGTTCAAGTACAAGATGAATCGGTTATTCATGCTCTCTGGAAGCTCATACATTCCCTGAAACAATTTTAATAATTAATTATATAGATAACAGATCAATAAAAATTTTAATTCCAATTAATTAACGATCGATATGTTAATCAAATCACTAATCAATATTTCTGCAGATATCGATCGACTACTTGTTATGTTTATTTAATTGATTAATAATTTGCTATTAATTATCTTTATTATCCGGAAGAAATCAAGAAGAAAGGATAAACGGTGATTTATCATGTTTCAAGCACTTGTTTTTATCGCTGATTGAGAATGTTCTAATGAGATTACATTATTTTTTGAGCCACATGCTTCTTTAATTAATGCATGCATCAGTGCATCTACTTATCAATCGACTTACCAGATGTTTGCCTTGATGCTCGGGCAAAAAAGTGCATTGTCAGTGTATTATTTTTATTGCTAATTTATTTATCAACTTGATATTATAATTATAAAGTATACTTACGATTTCGAACCACAGGAGGGGTAACACTAACTCGGAAAAACCCTCGACGTTTGAAATACTGCTTATGTCCTGCAAAGCCATGTTTATTTGAAAGCGAAAAGCTAAGTCTACTGGAAGTCCTGATTTAGGTTGGATGTAAAAGTATGATTCGTGTTTGTCCTTCTTGGGCTCGAGTCCTTTTACTTTTTCGAGAAGCGAAGGGTCTGATTCGTAGAAATGAGGATATGATAAAGCGATCGGGAATCCTGTTTAATAAAATTTATCTATTATAACTTTTCTTTTATAAAAATTTAATCGTACACTTTTAATTTAATCGATTTAATTTAATTTAATAAATTTAATCGATAGAAGGATTTTTTTAGTAATTAAGAATATTTCTTTGTATTTAAGAAATATTTCTTAAATACTAAGAAATATTTTTTAAATACTAAGAAATGATGTTTAAGAAATGATTTCTTAAATACAAAGAAATCTTCTTAAATAATAAGAAATCCTTCTATCTGTGGAATTTATTATAATAAATTATGAGTGATTGAATTGCCAAAAAAAAATTGCCAAAAATTACCATAGTAACAGTCTGTGACATCTATCAAGCCCTCTTGTAAGCATCTTCCTTCCCGGCAAAAACATTTGTTATCTGTATTTTTGGCTCCGTTGTCAAGTTCATTGTCCATAAATTTGTATTTGTATGTATGGAGACCTTTGACATCTTTTTCACCCGTTCTCACCTAAAATTATATTAATAATTAATGATTTATTTTTTGATTTTACTCCACACACATACTGATGGACAAATTATGCTACATACCATTTTGGCACTTCGACAAAGACTTTTTCTGTAGAAAAGAAGAGTATCGTTTGGTTCAATGTAACTAGGAAATTTGGCTCCGTCACTTGCACCATTGACATTCGCACACTTTCCTGTCCATTGAGGTAGATTAACATCACCTCTGTATTTGTCAATCAATCCTGTTTTTCTTACGTCATTCTCACCGGTGTAAACAGTCTCAAAGTCACCATCAAAATCGTACATCTGTAATAAAGAAAAAAAATATAAGATAAGATTATTTCAAAGATGTAACTCGGAAGAAATCTAATTATTAATAGAAAAAAAAATTAACAGACATTTTTGAATTTTTATAACAATTAAATTGTTATAAAAAAATTACAAGTGGAAAATTTTTTATAATTTATTTGTAATAAAAGTAGAAAAATTGTCAAATATCTGCTAACTTTACTATCATACAAAAAAATTTTTTATAATTATTTTGGATAAAAAAATACATACCCTATCAATCAATCCAAGTTTTTCAAACTTAATCCACGATGGCAAAAAAGTGTTACCGAGGGTAACAAGACTAGATTTGTAACCGAACATGAATTCGTGCGCTGTCATTTGTACAAGAGGTCGTGAATCAGTTTGCTTGATTAGAGCATTTAATGGCCAAGTAGTAATTATTGAAGCATCTCTCATTACGTTAGCAATACTCTGAAAAAAATAATAAAATAAAATAAAATAAAATAAATTAAATTTATTTTTTTCAGGTTCATAAAATAATTTCAAACGAAATTAAATTAAAATAGAGAAGAGAAAAACATTGATGGAAAAATACCGGATACGTCAACATTCAGATCAAGTCAGTAGTTAAAAATCAAGCCAGTTGTAGGTAAGTACATGCTTGAAGATTATACATTCTAGAGTTTAATCTATTTTTGTCAATAACCGATTACGTGTCATAAAAACCACGTCGTCACGATTACCATCCTACATAACTGTCATCCGGTTGACAATAAGACGTAACGCATTGCACACATTTTAATTATAATTTCAAACACTCATGTACCTATCTATGACGTCTAAATAATTTTTTGCTTATTATTTTCTTACGCATTTCATCAATTAGATTTTTTGTCTCGTGCTCATTACTCATTATAATTATCACTAGTTTTTCTAATTAATTGTTCGGACTAGAAAATTCTAGTTGATTACAAATTACCACTAATCGTAGCGTGTGCCGTTTTTATGATTGTTTTAATCGTACAGTCGGTAATCGATTAACATTCAATTTAAGACTAAAGATTATTAATCTCATCGGTCAAGATTATCGTATATAATACGATAATTATTATGCCCGATGATTTCTAATTACTGGTTTATAATTTCATTCATCTAGTTGTTTAAAATAAACACCGATCAATTCTCTTTTTTTTTTATTTTTTAGTAACTAAAAAACTCATTTATCATTTAGATTTTCATTAAGATAACTTTATTATTGTGTATCGATTATAAATCAATAATTTTTTTAATTTACTAACTATATTTAGTATCAACTGAAATAAACTCTGCGACTAAGTCCATGTTAGTGTAAATAGTCTACTAGAAAAAAAGTTTATGATCACTCTTATAAATTATGCAATCCAGATTAAAATATTCGAGAATGTTCACTATTTTGTAATGATGAGATAATTGATACAAATATAATTCAAATGCTTCTTTAAAAATATGCAGTTAAAAAATTCCTTTTTGTGCGATAAATTTTTCAATTAAAATTTTTATCATAAATATATTTCTAAAAATTAAACAGATAATACATAAATTTTTCCACTAAGGATTTATTAATTTTCTTTTTTACTTTTTAGCGATCGATACTGACTCAGGTATAAATTTTTTTGATTCGCTAATTGTTACCTATACAAAAAGTTAAGAAATTTCGAGTTACTCATTCACCCCCACGAATCAGAGACGTAACTTTCCATAACAGGGGACTAATTTTGTTTTACTTGTTTGCTAAAAATATTTGAATGTGATTGACCTTCGGTGGGAACCGGATTTAAAAATTAGGAAGATTATGTTGTGAATTATTGCAGTCGTTTAATATACCGGAAATCAAATATATAATTCGTGTAAAAAAGTAAAACTTTCCGTAAACAACCTCGACTTTTATTGTCCCTAAAAAAATACATTCATTTTTTTTTAATTATTTAGTTATTCAAATTTTAAAAAAGATACATGGAACAAAGAGATACGTGTAAGTTATTATTTAATTAATAATTGGTACAAAAAAAAAATTAAATAGTAGAAGGAAAACCTGTTTTAAGGAACAAAAAATCATCACGAAATTTATTAGCTGAAAAAAGCTTCGCGATGGCTAAAATTCAGATGGCATTTATTTTAAATTGATTAAAAAAATTTTCAAAAGTTTCTATTAAATTAATTATTTCTAATAAAATTATCACATCCAAAAAATTAGTAAATTAAAAAAATTATTTTCTAAAAAATTAGAGTAAAAAAAAAGTCAAACATAAAAAAATTTTTTTTTATTTCACTTATCGATAAATCCGAGTAAATTAAGCCCACGCATTTTAGTTTAAGTTTTTGCCGACCCAGACCCGCGTAGTGGAAATTTTCGGGGCAAGAATTAAGATCGATTACTTTTTTATACGAATTGTAATTTAACAAGCGACTTAAAATTTTTTTCTACGGTAATTTTCCACAAAAAACGAGATTTCGACGAGCAACCGTTATGGTTATGCTACTAGGCCGTCGACTTTATCCGAAACAATGTATTTTTATGGCTGAAGAGCATATGTCACAGTAATGTGTACTGCATATTAATGATTGTGCCCAAAGTAAATGAATTGTATTTATAGAACCATCATTCAGGAAATTACAACGTTTATATATTTGTCTCAAATTCTTGGGATTTATTTTTAGATCGACAAAAACTGACCTTAGTATTAATAAAGAAAATAAAAACCAAGTCAAGTCAATTGAATAAAGTGAACTAAAAGATAATAAATAATGACAATAACTAATCTCGATCGCGGATTACAGTAAAAATTTATTGAAACAGTTATTATTATTTTTAGACCTACTTTCATATTCATCTGTTTCTAACATTATCATACTCTAGATCACATGATTCGTTAGATTTTTTGAACCTAGTTGCGATAATCTCTCGTATCAGTGTTATCACTTGAATATTTAGGCTGGAATTGCGCAAACTTTTCTGGGGCATGGTTAATTATTTTTAGAGTTATTGTTTGTTATTTATAGATAAATTTTATTCAATTGTGCTTACCAATAGAGCGATATTTGGCAAATAAAGAATATCATCTTCAGTTCCGCCACTTAATTCTGGTACATATGTAAGTGGGTGCCTCGGTATTGCGGAAACAGTTCCGTTGTCATTGAATGTTATGTTTGAATGCTCTAAATTCTCTCTAAAAAATTAAAATAATTATTTTTTTAATTAATTCATGAGATATAATAAAATATATGAAAAATTTTAAATTTTTTGAAATTTTACAGTAATAATTTAACAATAATATTTAATAATTAAGCAATTAATTATTTGTTAACTGAGAAAAATATAAATTTTTTAATTTAATAGATAGTGTTAAATTTTTAATACAATAATTTGCACTCAGCAGAATTTTTAAAATGAATCATCAATAATTAACAAATATTGTTATTATGTCATAAAAAAAAAATATATTACTTGTAAACATAAGGTCCAACTTCCTGAAACCTGAGTTTGGAATCAACGCCAGACATGTATCTATCATGATTAGTCACATTGAATAAATAAACCTTGAGGTATAAATCAACTGGTGGCTTCCTCCACAATTCAAAAATTTCCCCATTATTGCTGAATGTAACTTTTAATTTAAAAAGTAGTTCATACGGCTGAATTACGAATGTTAGCAGGCCAAAAGTAAGACCAAGAAGACCCAGGCTCATCAATGTGAAGATACCTGTTGGCAAAAATCATTAATTTAATTAATTCACAACATAAATAACTTTTTTTTTTTTTTTTTTTCATAATACACATTATATATCAGACACATATTTTAAGTTATTAACTCAAAAAACTTGAATAGTTCAAGGTATCCATTTCTTCCGTCATTTTCGATAAACAACTTGGAAAAAAATAAGCGTAGCTGGAATATTATTATAATTATTTCCTAACACCCAACTAAACAAAAACCGTAGAAAGTTGTTTGTTATTTTTGAACGCGTCCACACTAAACAGATCTTACAGCCGGACTATAAAAATCTTTCTTTAGTTACAGAACCGCTCTAATCATGTCTACTGTTCATACAAATAGAAATATTTTTACGACCATCGATTATTTATCGCTTATGAGTAATTTTATATAATTAATATTATTTCTCCAGTTGATAGTAGTGACTTTCATTCATTTAAACATGATTAATCAATAATCATTATGAAAATATTAAAAAAAAATATTAGACTTAACTATCTGAAAATTGTGAAAACAAAAATCGAATAGAATTTTCTCTTATTGATTTTGTAACTGACGTAATTTTTTAAAAATAATTACCTGTTACGTCACATCATAGAAATTACAATTGTAAATGAAACAATTTAAATATTTAAGAAATTATAAATAAGTTATTAGTTAACAGAAATATTAATTATGCATTTTATATCGATAACAAAATAAATTTTTTTTTTATCAAAATGACGTCACGTGACAATTTTCCATTGATTAATTTGATTATATAACGCTTTTTTTAAAGTAAAAGGGCCGCTTTTAAGAATTATGACATTTAGCCTTCATAATCCAACGGAAAAGCTAATGCGTTATGCGAAAGTTAATAAGTTATGGGTGTAAAATAAAAGAAAATTACAAAAATTAACGAGCAAAACGTTGAATACTAGTTGGGTATGATAATAATGAACAATAAATAATCGTTAAAAACATATATGCGGGCAATTAGTGATGGGAAGTTTCAAGAGTGACTTTTTTTTTAGGAAGATCCCGAATCTGTTAGAAGCTTCTAGATCCAGAAGAGCATCAACCGGTTTACTGTGGCGATGTTCGTTATTTTATTTTATAAAATATATTTTTTGTTAGGACCTTTTTTTCCTTACTTATCGAGTTCGTGACGTTCGGCAATCAGATTCAGGATTTTAATGCACGAGCCTAAACCCCTGCATAAGTACCTGCCTCGATCGCGAGTGAATCAATGGAAAATCCAAAGCGCAATTCTCATTGCTGTATTTTATATTAGTTATTGACGTATTAAATTATTCATTATTATTATTATTGTTTAACAAAAATACTCGATTGATCTAAAGGACCTTGATTGGCAAAAATTAACAATTCAATTTTAGGCAAAAACGTGAAAAATTGCGTCGGCTGGTGGACATCTTTTTAAAATGTCAGGATCAAGGTAAAAGACTCTCGATTTCAGCGTGAACTTTTAATATATTCAACGTTAGTCATCGATATAATATAACGCTTTACGATTAATTTATTTATTTCTCTGAGTCTTATATTGAATAATCAGTGTTTAATGATTATTATTATACATAAAGCTTTATTTACTCTCCCAAAGAATTTGAATTCGGTTTTTAAATTTTTATTATGATTATGATAAAAATTAGCTAATTTTATTCTATTAAATTAACTTTCGTTGCACAACATAAACATTGATAATAAAATGCAAAGATAAGAAATATTTTATTTTATTATCAATATCATTATACATATGCTATAAAGTACTTTACTAGCTGTCAGAGATTTAATGTGAAGCGAAAAAAGTTCGGGGCAATGACCTTTGATGTCGGGATTGAATACATGTCTATAGATATTTATTACACTGCTGGTTTTAATATGACATCAAACCTTTCGATGGACTTAAAATGTTCTTAATGAAACTTTGTAGCTATTTTTTATTAATTAGGTAAATGATTCTTGAAAATGCTTCGAATTATTTTTGTTATAATTTTTTTTAAACAAAAAAATTTTCTAATTTAATATTCTAAATTTTATTGAATAAAAAAAAAGTTTCAAATTTTTTCTATATATTTAAGAATTTAAATTTAAATATTAAAAAAAAATTCAGAACAAAAGCTTCATTAATTTTATTCGAATAATTTTTTTTTTTTTAAATAAATGTACAAAAAACAAAATTTTTTATCAAAGATCAAAGTAGTGACTCAGTTTGCGTCCTATAAAAAACATTTAAGTATAAATTTATTTATCAATAACAGTGATAAATTTAAAATACGCTGTACAACTGTGTTTACAATGTCAATATAAAAAAATTATAATGCAAATTTTTGATTTGTAAAAAATTTACTAGTGAAAAAAAAAAAACATACGTATATATATGGAAGCAGGAAGTTTGTACGTGGAATTGAGTTGACATTATGAGTAATAGTGATACATTATATTATAACAACAAGATAAATAAAACAGATAAAATAGTAATAATAATAATATAACAATAAAAAAATGCCAATTTGGTTAAATTCTTTGTAACAATAATTCCATTCGCATTGTGCGTGGATCGTCTAGTAATTACTTCATTATCTTAATTCGAATTAGGCGCCTTGTTTGTTTGATGATAAAATAAAAGAATAATTGGACATTATTTATTGTTATGCTCCAAAAAATTTATTACTCGTGATCTAACAGATTCTAATCTACACTAAATAAATATAAGTTATTTTAAAATCTCTCTATGGCTTACATAAGCATCAGATAAGTAAATTTAAATGTAAACCATTAAAATTGCAGATTAATAATTTAAAAATATCTAATTTATTTGAGTAAATAAAATATAAAATCTGAATAATTAATTTTTCATTGTACGAAAGATTTATTTCTTTATAAAAGTATGTAATATATTATGCTAAAATCATCAAATAAAAGAGATAAATTGTTTATTATTGCAATAGTAAATTGCGCCAGTCAACGCGCGAGTCTGTTGTGAATTTGAATTAGCTTGTGCAGTTGAGTACACTTAGTACTCAACATAGTGTCATGCCTAGATTGTTGTACACTATTTATATATCTATTTAGCAATTGTGAGTGTCTCTCCCAGGTTATATTATATTAGGTGTAATGTAGCTGAGAATATTTGTTGGTGAAAGCATTTAACTTTAAACTATACACGCGGTTTACTTATTGTATTGTAATTTGTAATGTTACATTACATACCTACTGATCATAAGAGAAAAAAATTTTTATCAATTAATTTTATTTTCTTTGATAAAAATTTAATTATTTAACTATTAATCCAGCAAATTTTTTATTTAATTTAGAAATTATTTTATTTTTATTTAATTTAAAATTACATTTTTTTAATTGAAAATTTATTTAACAAATATAATAATAACAATAATTAAGTAGTTCATATAATTAACGCATACGTATTTACATAATTAACGTCAAAAATTACATGTTATGAAATGAACTCGAGTTTTTACTTTACCATTAAAGCATACCCAGTTTTTACTATCCAGGGTACTAAATTTAAAAATATAACGTACATGCATGTTAATTTCAGAGGCAACAGTGATAGTTAGCAAGTGATTGGAAATTTCATAATTATTGGGAAATTCAGATAATATTTCGATGTTTGAAATAAAATTTAAAAAATCCACATAACAAACATTAGGTTTTCCAGACTTTGCACGATAGTTATTAATTGCATCATGTATGTATATATTTCGTTGTTAGTGCACTTGAGTTGTCATTTACGATTGAAAGGTCTCGAGTTTGAAACTAAGAGTGATACTTGACGTGATATTTATCTTTATACGGGCAATGACATGTGTTAATTCGTAGTAATTAACATTTACTATATAGTTAAGAAATTCTTTAGAAGGAAACTTTAAAATTTCCAATTTAAGTGAAAATTTATCTTACAATAAAAATAATAAAATTTTTTAAAAATTCACTGACATTGCCTTGTCTTCCTCAATATTAAAACTTTGATGCGATTATTTATTATAAACAAGTTCAGGTGTAATAAATAAATTCCTCTATAAACTGGTTATACTGTCACTCGTCTTACTTGATAAGAATAAGTATGAAAATAAATATACGAAGATAATTAAAAATATTTTATAATGACATTTAAGTGATCAATTGCATTTACCATAAATCCTGAACTCAGAAATCACAGCATGGGGTTTCTTTGAATCACGCCTAATATATAAATAAATTCAAATACAACTCTTGAATTATGTACCTGTAATACCACTATTTAATAACTTAATAAATACGTAATAATGAATAAGTAATAACAGCCGGACATTATTCGGCAATCGACAACCGTCAACAGTATTACCAGTACGAGGTACGAGGTTAACCGCATGCTATTATAATCACTCACATTTAGATCTCATCCGCGTATTTATTAATTTATCGTTTTAATTTTTTAATCAAGTGGTTTATAATTCAAAGATGATATTGGCTCGCTTTTGGTGGTCAATGTGGTGGGTACATAAACAATAATTCCCAATCATTATAATTATAATAATTAATTAATTTAACTACTAATTATTTATGAACTGAAAAAAAATTAACTTGAATCAAGACAAAAATTATTGAACTAAAAAAATAATATAAAGAGTTTCATTGTCTTGAATCAAGACGAAAAATTTTTGAATCAAGTAAAATTTACTTAAACCAAGAAAAATTTCTTAATTTAAGAATTTTTCTACTCAAATCAAGAAGATTTGAAAACCACCCAAATCCCATGGCAACAGAATTACACGGAGAGAAATTTATAGGAATCTTTCCAACAATTATGGGAATGGATCCTATAATAAAATTATCATTATAGGCATTAATCCTATACTCATTATGGGAACCATACCCATAATTTATGGGAAACGTTCCTATACAATAATGGAATAGCTTCAATATATTATGGGAATAATGGTTCCTATAATATTATAGGAATGGTTCCTATAATATTATGGAAACTATTCCTATATATTATGGGAACCATTCCTATATATTATGGGAATCATGCCGATATTACAGTTTTAATTATAGGTATCGTTCCTATAATTATAGGAACCATTCCCATAATTATAGTAACGTTTCCCAAAAATTATGGGTATAATTCCCATAATTTAAGTAATCGCTCCTAAAATGGTATAGGAAAATATTTCATTAAAATTATAGGAATGATTTCCACATTTTTCTCTCCGTATAAAAAATTTTTTTTTATTTAAGTAAATTTTACGTGATTCAAGTATTTTTCATATTCATTCAAGAGACTGACTCTTTAAAATTATTTTCTTGGTTCACGAAATTTTATAAGAATTAGAAAAAATTACATTATTGTTTATAAAATTTTATCCAACACCAAAGGATAACTTGCATAAAATTTGATATAATTAGATAAAATTCCATAAAAGTTATGTGAAAATTTCATAAGTTTCATAAAGTTTATAAAATGTAATAAAATAAATAATTTAGGTACGGATCAAAGCTTTTTATGTCAACTTTATTTCAATTCAGCAACGTTTCGCCAAGGATCATGGCTTCTTCAGGTATCTAATTACATACATACAATAATTAGCAATATTATCGCACGATGATTTATAAAATATCATAAGGTCATTTTCTGAGTAAAATTTTATGATATTATACTGCCGTCATTTCAAAAAATGCTAGGAAATTCTATGAAATTTAATGAATAAATTTTTCTTTGTTATTATCAAACGAAATTGTAATGAAGAGAAAATATTTTTAATGATAGTTAACTCTTAATAAAAAAATTTTTGTCATTAAGTCGATTGTACATCATTGAGTTCATTATTAAAAAAAAACAAAAAAAAAAAAAAAATCAAGAAGATGAAGTTCTTCAAAATTATTTACTTGATTCAAGTAATTTTTTTTTCTGTGTGCATGTCTTTGATATAATATTTTATTAACATTTGTTTAAAATAATAAACAAAAATAGACTATTAAAATATTAACATAAAAAACTAGTCTTAGTTAGAAAATTTAATTACAATTATCAATTAGAAAATTTTCAATTATTTAAAAAAATATGAAAAAGTCAAAATTTAATTAAAAATTTTTAGAATATTAATTGGAATAATTTTAATAAAAATTTTTTAATTTCGTTTAAAAATCTCACAGATTAGGATTAAAATAAAGATTTTACTTTCAATTTATATACAATTACGTAGATTTTTTCAATCTAATAATAAAAATTTAATTCAAATAAATAAATAATTAAAAAAAAAATCGACTTACTCCTTGGCCATCTCCGCCTGCTATTAGAACGTACTGGTAGTGTGTTATTAAAAAATTGATTAACTACAATAGCGGATTTCGATTGAAGACTACTTGGATCACTGTCTGAAGAATCTTCGGGATTTTGTGAGCTTACTTGGTGGTTAGCGTTAACATGTACGGACGTATAACGTCGACCAGCTAGCTGGCTCCAAATTGACATTAAATCTTTCATTTTTGTGTATTTATACTATATTACTTTTCTCAATAATTTTATTATAGATAATAATAATAATAATAATAATATCAAACGTTAAATGAAATATATATCACTACCACTTTGTATGAAATTGATATAAAATATTTAAAATCACAGTACAAAGAGATCAACGAAAATCGACGACGTATCCGATCGCGCGTCGTCTGTACACTCGTTTGAGTCTCCGAAAAACTTTTCTCAATGGTAACGCAAGTATCGTTAATAATATAAAATTACGTGAGAAGTAAATTCAAATATTCATTTACTAATAAAAGTCTTCGCCAGTATTTTTTTATAATTAAAAGCTAAGTTAGCTAATAGTAAAACTGCTAGTACCCTCACGTAATGTAAATCTAAACCTCCCGACTTGCGATACCGTGCAAAAGTACAGACAGATTGAGCGACTTTGAAAAATATCGTCTGGTAGTAGTCTCTTGTACCGGTACCCCACTACCCTTTCTTCATTCGTCTAGAGCTGGTTGTTTTTAGGAGTGGAAGTGGCGATTGCACGTGGATCTTTGACCAATAAACATTTGTGTGCTTATAATGCGTTTCAAGTATCTTATTTCTTATAAGTTGGAAGTTTTAACTTACAAACGACTATTAGAATTCGATCCGATTTGTATCGTTCTATAAATTAAATATAAATCTTTTGTAATTTTAATTTCTTCTATAAGATTTGATATTTTGTAAGTGATTATAATTAAGAGAAATTAATTTTAATTTTCAAAGTAAGTGTATGTTGAATAGATTAAAATTTCATAACATTTTTAAAAGTAAATGAATAATATTTTGATTACATAAGAAAATATTTCTAATTTAATATTACTTTCCTCCAAATTCAAAGTAATAATTTGTATTTTTTCACTTTTTAAAATAAAATTGAAACTTGTAAGAAAATTTTTTTAAAAATTTCTTGACTCAAGGGTAAATTTTCTTGATTCAAGAAAATATTAAGGAAGAGTAAAAATTTCTTTAATAAATTTAAAATTTCTTGAGCAAAGTCGAATTTTCTTACGTCAAAAAAATTTATTCTTACTCCAAAATAATTGTAGTGTTTTTTAAAATTTTCTTGGTGCAAGAAATTCTTTTTTTTTGTGTAACAATATGTACAGCAAAATAATTAAACTTATTTTACGGTATTGGAATTACTAAAATTCCTCATTATTTTTTTTTAAATTCTTAATTAACAATTAGAAGTACAAAATTTTTCTTTGAAAATATTTTCTTTCATTTTTTAATTCTAAATTGTTGTTTTTATTTTTTACAATAAACTCTTTTTAATTTTCTAAAAGATGATTTTTTTTTTATGAAAAATCCAAAAATAATTTGCTCAATTTTAATTATAAAATTTATATTCTAATTAAAGTAATAAAATAATTTACAAAATATTCTCACTAATATTTAAATAATTTTATTTTTAAATGCAGTCAGTAAAATCTCAATAAACCCTGGTAATTATTAAAGACTTTTTTTAAGAATAAACATTATTCTCTAATCTGTATTATATAAAACATAAAATAACTTGTATTACTTTTTTGTTGGAATTTTTTTTGTATCCCTTTTTACGACACTTTTACTGAAAGGCCATAACTCATGATATTTTATAATAATATGTAGACACTTAAATTTTTAATGTAGCAAGTAGTAAAGGTTTTTTTATTCTCCAGAATTATGTTTTTTTTTCCTTTATTTTTTCCACCACATTCCGACTAGCATGATTGTCGTAACCTCGGTCTGTTCAAATGCGGAATTGTTAAGTCCTCTTTCGTTCTGCATTTATCTTATTCTTTGTTTTTATTTACGTGTCTGTATGCAGCATTAAAAGCATTATCTTTACGAATTCGATAAACTTACGGATTCGCCATAAACTGAACGTTCAATTTCATTCATTAATTCACGAGCAAGCGGTAAAAAAAATGCAAAAAACCCCACACAAAAAAATAAAAAAAAATCGAGACACGTAAACTTGGAATAAATATGGATTAAATAAATCTTAAAATTTTGTTTATTCATTGGTATGTCGCAAATCCTTAAATTTGCGATTGTCAGTAGTGGAATAAATGTTTGATCGACCTTGACTGGCTTTTTCTCTTCCTTATTAATGATGCGATCGATCTTTTTTCTCAATAACTTTTTTCTCGCATTCGTGGATTTAAATTCAGTAATATTCATATAATTAATATAATAATATATTTTTAACATATAATTACAATTTTTTACATGAAAATCATGGTTTTTACCTCGTTAACTCCAAGTACAACATTTAACTCTTGGTCTTTCTATATAAAAAACACGTTAGTAGAATCGAAAGCTCTGTTTTAACATCAAGGTCACAAGGAATCGAAAGATTGAAACGCGAAGGTTGATGCCCTGAACTTAAAAAAATTCAAGAGGAATTTTCCCTACATTTTATTACGTGTATTGTATAATTGTAAAAGACCACATAAATTTAATCTTCATTTTTACTCATTTATTATTAACTTTATAATTATTTTACAAGAACATTTTATTTTTATTACTCTTTTAACTGATAACAGTATTTATTTCGGAGATTTTTTTCCATCATTTTTTAAGAAGATTAAAATACGTCATTTTTTTTTTGCCTACTAGTTAATATTAGGAAAATTTTTTAAATAAATTTCTCGTTTTTAATTATGAAAATTGACTATATTTTGTCATACAAAAAAAAAATTTTTTTTATCAGGAGCTTTATAATTTTTGACATTTATTTTCAATTGTCAATTTGCAAATCATTAAAAAATATTGACTTAAGTATACTCAATAATAATTATTAGAAGTAATAAAATTTATTTAATTTCTTAAGATAAATAATTAAATTAAAAATGGGAAACTAACAATCATTAATTTTTCGAACCTTTGAACAATGACGCTAGTATGTAATTTTTTGTGCAATTATACATTGTAGAGGATCATTTTTAATAATAGAAAGAAAACTAGAAATTTTTGTATTTCTCTTTAACTTACACTCGAATTCTATTAATTAGAAAAATTTTTTTAGCATATATAAATTTATTTTTTTGCAAGGATATAATCAACATTTTACTAAAATTAAAAAAAAACTGTATTTTTGTGATTATTATCTTACGCAAGAATTATTTTTAACCAATATCATAATAACACAATGTGATAGGGTAATTATAGTCTCATTTATTTAAAGAAAAAATTTTTGACATGTAATACTCCATTTAATTCATAAGCAGTGCATAGACCTCAGATAAAATCTGACTTTTTTCATCGAGGATGTGACAAATCTTCTAAAAATTGAAGCACAGCTCAAACGGAATCCAAAATCAAAATTGATTAATTATAGTCTAGAAATTATTATATTATTACAATAAATAATAAATGATACGTCGAAATTTTTTACAAATCCGTGTCAAAGTAAAAAGTCGGCTAATCAATAAAATAAGCTCACTAATTTGTAAAATTCAATGAATGGAACAAAAATAATTGCGTTAACAGATAGTAAAACAAACTAAAATAAAATGATAATTTATAGAGACTTTAAAAGCTATTACTCGGCATTATGAACCATTAAATCAAATGATCAGACAATAAAGACATCAACTTCACTCAAGCACTTGAACATGCAGAAACCGTAAAAAAAGATAATTATTATACGAGTAAAAAAAAGTGTTTGATCTTGATTTACAACATAAGTATTCACTAACCTTGGGTAAGTTCGAATCGCTTAGGTAAAGTTGAAACACGTTTACCTCCATCGCACTTACTGCATTGCATTCCGCACACATTCTGTCGGATACTCTTGTACATTCTACACCGTACTTGTAAATTTCTCCGATAATACATACTAGTAATATTACATACTACATTAGTTAAATACACGTGGGTTTTATTCTATTAAATTTTAGTTGAATAACCAGTTGCATTTTATTGTCACACAATCTTAATATTTTTTATCCATCTCTGTCTAGGTAAACTCAGCTGTCTAAGACCTGAGTCACAATAAAAATGACAACAAAACTATTTTATCAACCTTGGTTGTGATTAAATTTTATCTTTAATTTACAAAAGTAAACTCACCACAATGCAAGTAAATAATCCAAAAATTATATTAACGGAAGTTACTCACTTGTTATAAATAAAAAATTCAACAAACTGGTATGAATTAAAAATATGAAATTATTTTTACTGACGTCATTGATCACATAATTGTCGGAAAAGTCGGTTAATAATTTTCAGTTACGTATAATGAGTAACCTAGGTAAGGTAATTCAATGTTTACAATGAAAACTCATGCTATTCTGAACTGGATATAAAAAATCTATATTTATGCTAATTATTTTTCATTGATAAAAAATTACACAACTATGTAATGAACTCGTGTAATCAATTATCAATTAGACAATTATTATTTACCACACATACGCAATCCCGGCATGCGCGCATATTTTTTTTTATATAAAAACAAAAAATAAATAACTATTAAAAACGACACTTTGAAGGATTTTTACGAGTTTAATTGCATATGTATCAATGTATTGGGTATTACATGTATGTCAGTAGCCTTAATGTGAATTCAAGACCTATCATTTTTATTAATTGGGCCATAATGTTATTTAATTTTGTTTTTTTACTGTAAGAAAAATGGAAATAATAATTAATCGCAAGATCTAGAACTTTTTTTACTAAATAAAAATGTTGTTTTTGCGATTAATCAATCATTATTTTCATCTTATGATTGATTGCGACGATTATTAAATTCCTATTTTATTAGTTATGATGTTATGATTAGATAATTTTGTTATCGGAATGACTGGAAAAATTTGTTACTCAGTATTTACATTTTTTAACTCTATAATTACGGAAACTCAATAATATTTATGTTGAGGATGTTTACTAAACTTTTATTAAAAAATTGTAAACATTGGTGCTAGACTTTCAATTTTATCTATTTATTATTACAATTTATTAATATCTAATAATCGCAG